ACACACACACACACATATACACACACACACACACAAACACTCCTAAAAGATACTTGGGAGAGAAAAGTGATAGTTGGTGGCTACTTCACTCAATTTGTGCACCAGTTGTGCTCCCTAAAGGGAAAATCAGCATATATGCATAAAAAAAATGTTGTCAAGTCAGTGTGTCTGCTGCCGAGTTATAAGCACGCCTAATGGTTTCAAAAGCCACTGAAATATACACATGAATGAAAGCATCACCGGTGCTTTAAAAAGGAAGTTTAAATGGATCCTAAAATGGAAAAAAAAAAATCTTAAAAAAGCAAAAAAGTAAATTTTTACTACAGAGAAATAAGGTTTTTTTTAGTGAACAGCATCTAAGACTTTGATGGAATGAGAATACATGTTTTGTTGCAAGTATGTGTGTTCATTCTTTTAAGAAATGTGCTGACATATTACACACAATAAAACATAAGGATGCTTTGTCTACGACTAACACCAAAAATCTGACATGTGGAAATGTCTTCAGATAGGAGTGAAAATAAAAAAAATAAAAAAAAGCTGCAAACCCTCCCACTGTCCTTAGAAATCATGCAATATGCTATTCAGATAAAACATTTAAAAAAAAAAAAAAAAAAAGACTCAGTACATATTCAAAATGGTGCTCAAAAAAGGACAAAACACAAGATAATCTAAAACTGGGCATGCACAAATTCCTGAATGTCGTCAACACATTTTGCTGTCAAGCCATTCAATCAATCAGCGGTCCAGGGAACAATATGTCCCATTATCATTCAGATACATGCAAAACGCCATGAAGGAAAAAGAAAAAAAAAAAAAGAACGAGAGAGATAAAAAGGCACGTCGGACAAGGCACCCCTGCTCATGTCTTGCTTCAAAGAGAGAGAGAGAGAGAGAGAGAGCGAAAGAGAGAGAGAGAGGGAGAGAGAGAGAGACACGCAGGGTGCAGGACCCACACGGTGTAGTTCCAGCCAATTGCGTTCCAGAGAAGTGACCATGGCCAGTGATAAACAAAGCACCATAGATCATTCCTCTCCCAGACGGAGCCCGGCGCTGGAGGCAGCGGAAGGGAGAGCGGTCAGACAGACAGAGAGAGAAAGAGAGAGAGAGAAGGAGAAGCAGACAGAGACAGAAGACAACAGAGAGCTCACCGCCTATATGCATCTGCCCCCTCTGCTATCCTCTGATGCTACATTTTGACGCCCTTTTTGCAACTGGAATGCCATTAAAGCCGGCCGTGCTGCACGCCTGCAGATTTACTCTCTGTGACAAGGAAGGAGAGAGCGAGCCAAAGAGAAAGACAGAGAGAAAGAGGGAGGGAAGAGAGCTGCTGCTGCTGCTGCTGCTGCTGCTTCCTTCTCCCACTGCAATTGTGCCGATGCATCATATTAAAAAAAAAAGGAAAATCAACAAAAAAAAAAAGCCTTAAATTGTTCCCATTTCCAAAAGAGAACAAAAAAAAAAAAGGGCATTCAACACTTACCCACTCCCAGACACAAGACTCAGATTCAGTGTTCATTTGAGCCCAGTGTGCGTCACAACAGAAACCTCAGATATTCCTCCAAAACAGATGTGCAAAGAGGAGCAGTGAGGTTCTCCCTCTTTTGTTTGTGAGCCTGCCTGGCTAGGTTTCTCTATTTGCATCAGCCGGCTTTTTACAGCTTTGAAGCAGGTGGATGACAAAAACATCAATCTCTCCAGGCACACTGTGTGGCATGCACACTTTGACACACTCCCCTCACCAGCTCTATACAGTATAATCACACATTCCTATTCTCCGCTCACAGCTCTACGAATGAAAATGGGCTCAAAAGGAAACTGAAGGACAAGTGTGCATTGTTGGAGAGTGCTTTTGTAGTAATCATGTTTTGATTGGATTAGAATAGGAATTTGCTATATCTCCAGAGTTCCATTTGCCATATGTTGAGGCAATTTTATGCACAGTGTTTAAGGGAGGACATCAGTGGGTTTAAGTTAGCAGCCGACAATAAGCCACAATCAGAGTGTCCGTTTGACTTTTTTTCCCCCCTCTTTAAAAGCACCATATAGCATTAATTGTGTTGTTATGCATGCAAAGCTTGTCTACAGCCCAAACTAGACCATGATTAGCAGTAATGGGAAGGCTGTAGTCACTCATTCTGAGCATCTCAAGATCAAGTCAAGACTGAGTTCAAACAAGGGTCAAGTCGAAACCATGTCAGAACCTAAAAGCGAGATTCAAAGCATCATCTTAAAGCTGCACTTACTCATGTTGTTGTTATTGCTCATGGTGATGAACCCACAGAAAATGATCGCTGCATTTACCGTCTTTGATATTTTTAGGCTTTAGGGCCCACAACTTTCACTTTTCAGTCCATTTTCTCTCATCAGCCTCTTTTTTAAGCCACAGCAGTATGCATCACAAATACCCTCTATGAACCTGCTATTAAAGCTGGTATAGGCAATTTTTTATTTTTTTGGCACAAGCAAAAATTCCACATTAGCCTTTTAGCATACGATAATCCAAGTTTGCAAAAAATAAACTGGACTCCCACACGTCCTCTTGGCTCTGTTTTCAGGCTTTAAAAGCTCGCGATGAGACACTTTAAGACACGAATGGATTTTTTTCTGAAAAAAAAACTCCTGAATATGTAACTTTGATACATAGAGATGAGTTTTTAAGGGTCTGATCAATGACTGGAGAGGAGCTTTAAAAGTGTTAACCCCTATGTACTTCTGTGAACATGGTAATGAAGTGAGCAAGTCAGCATGTGTTTTTTTTAATTTGGCATTTTGGCCGTCGCCATCCTGCTCTGGAGAAACGAGATTTAATGAGCGAAAGGTGGAACAAACGGACATAGCAGCCTTGTCAAACACATGGTAGCCCCACACCTAAACATTAAAAAAAAAATCACATTGCACGATATTGAAAGTCTTGAAACTAGTAATACCCTATAAACCAGACCAGGGGTTCTCAACTGGTGGGTCGCGACCCACTTTTGGGTCGCGGACAGCTGGTCAAAATTAAATAACATATAATGTGCGTCTCAGGTTGGACTTGTTTTTCATTTTGAAAAAACTTTTATTTTGACAGGCATGGTAACCATATAGTTTGTTTGACGTTCATTTTAAGTTTGTGTTGATGTTGGGATGCAAGATGGCAAAGCCAAATATGACCCGGACTATTTAAAATGTGGGTTTTCATACTAGGGCTGGACCCGAATAGCCGAATAGCCAACTATTCCTTCGCTGTGCTGGAATCAGGATATCAATTTTGATCCGAATATTCCTCCCACCTCCCCCCGCCGCTACCACCGATACAGCAGTGTGACCGTCGGTCGGACCAAAAGCTCAGCGCCCGCACACCCCGTCTGAATAATAAGCTTCCTCCCCCTGCCGCCGCAGAAACATTGCTGTCAACATTAACGTAAACACCTAAACTGGTGCTAGTAGCCAAGAGCTGCCTTTGTGTCCCACCACTTCCAGTCCGTCGGAGCCTGCTCGCACTCAGAAGTCCGCTGACTGTCGAGGGGCAAGATGTTGTCACGCTTTTACTAACTTAAATAAGAAATCGCCACATTCCTCTCTGAGACTAACTCCCTGTACGCAGAACTGTTTGACAACGAAATGTGGCTGCACGAGAGCATCAGCTGGTGGAGCTGTCATGTGATCAGACCCTGAGAAAGCGATGTGGGGAGGGAAGCCTTTCCCACTTCTGGTGCAGCGATGTGGTGGCTGAGCATCCATCCCTCACCACTCCTGCAGTTAAAACAATCTTAGCATTCAGCTCAACCTGTTGGTGTGACACTGGCTTCTCTACCTTGGTCCAGCTCAGGTCACAGCAGAGAAACAGGTTGGACACTGAGCATGATCTGAGAGCAGCTCTGTCTACTGTCACCCCAGACTCTGAAACTCTAATCAGGAGTAGAGCACGTGCCCAACTGTCTCATTAACTTCAACAAATGACCTGATTAGGCCAAAATTTTATTTTCCAGTAGTTTTGATATTTATTTTATTCACTTTTGTACATGCAGTTGTCATGGTCCAGTTACTATGCATGGTTATATGCTCTGAAATGCATGTTGCACAGAAAATATATTGAATATTAAATTCTTTAAAAAATTGGGTCGCGACTTAATGACCATGGGAAAATGTGGGTCCCAGGGTGAGACCAGTTGAGAACCCCTGAACTAGACAACTGAGGTAACAGATCAAGTGTGAAGTAGGGTAATTTCCTAATAGACTTCTATGCAATATGACTTCTTTCTGCAACCAGAGGAGTTGCCCCCTGCTGGCTGAATGCAACTTTAAATCACTTTGTGGTTGCTTCACTTTGCAGACCTGGCCGTTAACTCCATTTATTCACAGACAGTGAATGGTTTTCCACCAGCACACTCCCAATTTCCTTCACAAAACAGTTCATTTGATGGTATATCTGACACATATTAAATAAAAATAAAGTGCAGGTGATGAGGCATTCCCATCTCAATCAGTGCGGAGATATTTTGCTTCATTAAAAGCCCATACCCTGCAACTCAGTTCCTCAGTATTTCTTAGCCTCCATTTACCTCAACATAATAGAGTTTTTGGTATTTGCATAAATCTATATTCTTTGTTATCAGACAGCAGTCTTTATCCTGTGTCAATCCATTCAGTAATAACCTGCGCAATGAACAATAAGACACCAACAGAAAATAATTATGTAATCCTTTTAAAAAAAACAGAAGAGAAAAGGAAGCTTTATCCAAACCTTTCCTACTGACGTCTAGAATTTATGTTCATTAACTGACAATGTTACAGCTAATCCAGCTTTCATTTAAGTTACACAATGTTTCTCAGAAGTTTAAAAACCGATAAAGAATTAAACAGCACACGTCAATTACAAACAACGATAACGCGTGCAAAATTTACAGTTCCACGTTGACATTTAAATGTAACACCAACAAGTATGTGTTTTGGGGATTCCGACAGTTTTTGTGAGTCCGTGAAGGCAGCATCGTGACGTCTAATGTTTGGTTTGTGATGGCGGGATGTGAAGGTTTCACTCTCCATGTTTCTCCTTCTCACTAAACCTATTAGTCTGAGCTTAAAGCCAACTAACATTTCGGCTCATTCTGTCTTTAATAGCGTTAGCTGAAGCTCAGCTGTTTGGTTCCGGAGACTTAGTGACTTAAATTCACTGCTAACTCTGTCCGGACAGGTTTGCTAACGTTAGCTAGGAAGCAGCGTTGTGATCTGACAGATGCCGGTCCGGGAAGTGAGATGGAGAGCTCACTGGTGAAAGACAACCCGCTGTTTTTACCCCTCAACAAGGAGAAAACTGTCTATGACGGATTTATCACTGTTCAGGTAACTTGTGTTAATGTGTTAGTGCGGTGTTCTTACTCGTCACAAGAATGAATGTCCAAACTGCGTTGAATAAACGATTAATTTAAAAGATTCCTCGCTTTGGACACATGTAGCTGTGACAGGCTTTAACTTCAAGCTATTCATAAATATTCTCAAACCACTGGTGAATTCCTTTTATGAAACTTTAACTTTTAAATCGGTATTTGCACCCACGACCTCCTGTGCTTCCTCTACTGTCAGCAGCAGGACGTGTTGTAGAAGCAAGAAAAGCTTCTGTTTTGTTTTGGTTTTGTTTTGTTTTTAGCTAGTTTTGACTGTCGTGCTGTTTTAAACAGTCGATCATTTCCATTATCAGGAGCTATGTTCTACCAGGTGTCTTCCTCTTTCAATACACAAACAAACTTTATATTATAGGATTGAATATCGTAGAATTTATTAAAAGGAAATTAGAAATGAGATCCTATGTGGTGAGATATTTATCAGACTACCACATGAGATAAAATAAGATAATTATTTATCTCACACTGGAGAAATTCACAGTGTTGTCAGCAGCAGTACACACACAGAAATACACATATTAGAAGAACAATGTACATCTAAGAAATAGTGCAAACACAAGTATAAAAATACACATATAAAAAGAGAATAGTGCAAGTGTAGAATATAAGATATATGGGGATATATATATATATGCTATAGAAAATAAGGAATAAAGATATAATAATAATAATAAACAGTGCAAATGCAAATATATACATATAAACATCCACCAGTTCTAAATTATTTTGATACACTTCAGCAAAAGCAGAGTATGTCATCTTAAGTCCACTTGTGGCTTTGTTGTGCACTACCCAGAAAAACAACAACAAACCAAACTGTTTTTGAGAGTAACTAAAGGAATTTACAGAACTTAAATAACATTCTTTACCTTGCCTGATGTGCGTCATAGTCCCACCAGTCGATCGTAGTCGGCGGATTCTACCCTCGTGTTCAGGATCTGCATGCCATGTTCACATAAAAACATTATCAAGTCTCATTGTGGCCTTGCACATCGTCTTCTGAGAAGACAAAATGACAGAGTGGGGCTTACAAACAGTCTTATCAAAAATGTCTTGGGTAGTTAACATATAGACCAGGGGTGTCCAATCCTGGTCCTCGAGGGCCACAATCCTGCAAGTTTTAGATGTGTCCCTCTTCCAACACACCTGATTCAAATGATCAGGATCGTTATCAGGCTTCTGCAGAGCTTGATGAGGAGCTGATCATTTGAATCAGGTGTGTTGAAAGAGGGAAACATCTAAAACATGCAGGACTGAGGCCCTCGAGGACCAGAGTTCGACACCCCTGATATAGACCTTTCTGAAGTGTTATGATTCTGATTATTTACCATTACAGTTATATTTAGCTTATGTGATGATATAATTCCACATGCCACTACTGCTCCACTGCTATTGTCATTTAACTTCCACTCATGCTGTATTTTTCTAGGACAGAGACTTCAGAATGAGAATAGTGCTACCACCAGATCGTCAGCTCAGGAGGGCCAAGTACGAATTATATCCTCCACTTCTCTTTACAAATTATGCTAACATTTCATGCAAGTGTGATATTAGTGTAATAAAGAGTGTGTCTGATTGTAATCCCTGCATAGCCACAGAATATGTGTTTTAATTGCTTCTCTTTGCTCTGTAACTATCTATAACTTTGCCCTTGCAGGCTGCACTGCTGTTGGCAGTTAAGACACCTGTTGCGTGGATATGAGCACATAGTGAAGCAGGTAAACGTGTTGTAATACGGCGCTTGTCGCTTCATATTATTTAGCGATGTTTTGTGTCTGCCATCTCTGATTGAGATCATCTTGTTTGCTGTGTGTTTAATATATATTTTTGTCAAGTCATTTTGGCTCCTTTGTGTTGGCGGCATCGTGCTTGGCGTTGTTCCTGCACTCTCTGTCACCCATCAGGCTCGCCTCACTCAGAAGCAGAGAAAAATATTTTTCACTGTTTAATTAACATCGCCTGGAAAATGTCCCTATTTGTTATGTGGCCCCTCAGGGTTATTTGGATGAGATTGATATTTCACCCCAGGCTGCAAAGTTCATTATTTTCACAGCCTTTAAGCTATCATTAATTATTAAAGCTGGTGGCAGCCCCCATTAATCACAAACACTGTGTTTGATTTGAATGGCTGGCTAGAGGAAAAAAAATAGACACTGTCACTTCATTATCCTTCCATTCAAGGATGTCTTTTCTCTCTTGTTTGACTTCTCGCAGAGGCTGCAGCAGTCGGCTGATCTTGTCAGTTTCATTCTGGAGCTAAAGACTGTCTTGGTAAGGAGGAGAACGACACAGTGGTTAGCACGGTCACTTTGACATTGTTGCTTTATGAATAGGAAGTAAATGGGAACCTCCGGGCACTATCAATAGCCTTGATTGTGAGGCACACATGTACATGTATATTTTGTTAGATTAATGAAAACGCCTATGAGCTTGCCACAAAACAGAGCCATAAGACGTATTGGCCCGGATTAAGTTTAGTTGTATTTATTTTGTTTGTTTTTATTCTAAAGATTGTGGTTTACATTGGTGAAGTTGTGCTATGATGTGCATTGTAATCTGGGCTTAAAATAAGAAGCGTTGTGCGTGTTGTTGCAGGAAGTGGGTCTGAAGAGCCGCCCTGAGTGCCGCTCCATTCCACCTCCGCAGTATTACTCTCAGCTCATCTCTGAGATGGAGACCCTTGGGTGGGACAAGTAAGTGGGCCACTAGGAGCACTAACACATGCTCTGGAACCAGGTTTTAATGGAGCATTAACCGCTAAGCTGTAAAATGTGGGAAAGTTGGCTGTGACCACCACGTTTGCTAGTATGACATGTATTACATTAACACTTTGACAGGTGGTGTACCTATAATGTACACATCAGTTTGCTATATCACCATGCAGCATACTTCCACATGAGGCAATATCATGAAGAATTTCACAAAAGCCATGGGTGATGTTATGGGGGGTTTATTCACCTTTATTTACATTCCATAAATGTAACGAGGAACCCGGGATTGTGACGTTTCCCACAGATTGAGAGGTCATTTAATTTGCTTCTAACTGACTAATCAAATAGAGAAGAAATATACCGTATTGGTGGAAATACTTTGACAACCCTCACTGTTATATTCACACTTTTTTGAGCCCATCATTATCTGTGACAGCAGATCCTAAAGACACTTGTCTGTTTCTGAGAGCCTTATTGGTCAGAAAGGTTCCTCTGTGGCAGTGAAGCATACATGAGCCCTCCAATGCAGAATGAGCTAAGTCACTAACCAATTAAATGGCTGACTGTGATGATTTGAAAATAGGAGAGGAGATCAAAAAGTCCAGACTGGGCCTATACAAATCAAAACTACCTGATTTAAATTTGGTCACCATCCCCGTCACAGAAGTCTCCTGGCGCAGCGACACAGCATTTCTGCAACGCTTGTAATGTTCCCTGAAAATCCCATGATGTAAACCTGTCAAGGACCATCTGCAATGGAGGGCTGAATCTCCTAAGCTATGTCAAATTGGTGACCCTTCAACTTGAATGTCATCTTGAGGAAGAGAATGAAGTCACAGAGAGACAAATCTAGTGAACAGGTCTGGTGTAGAGCAACAAATATCCGTTTTTTTGGCAAAGCAAAGATGTGCATGGTCACCATGCTGTGATGAGGTGTGCAGCACTTTGGAACAACTACATGCCATCAGTTCAGATGATTTGTTCTAAATGTTAATGCTGAAGAAAACAATGAGAAATATTCCTGGTGCCAGATGGTTGTTGTAAGCTGCACCTCTTCCACTGTGAAAACTACTGTTTGGCCTGTTGGTTGGTAGCGGCAGACCCACCTCTCCTCACCTGTGATGATCCTCAACATGAAGGTGAGACCATCCTGACTGACACAGAATGTGATCTCAAACACTAAGTGTGTAACTCAGGCCCGATGTTGATAGTGCAATGCCTCAAGATCGCCTGACACGTGACGGTTAGTGCTCGTACATGTTACACGTGCCTGACCATGATGCGTATCGAACCACTGACAATATCTGAACTTTTTGATCATTCTTCATATAGATGATTGTCCAACTCTGTTCTGGACTCTGTGTACCTTTAAAATAGTAATTTTTAGTAATTGATTTTAACTGCAACCCTAAGTGTCAGCAGTGCATGTTCAGTTATCATATATACTTTGGTTCAGACATGATCTACTTCTCTCCTCACTTCACAGCTGAAACAAGGGATGAAAGAGAGAGAGAGAAAGAGCACATGACAGAGTTGTTGAATGAAAAAGTGTAAACTGACTTAATGTTATCTGCTTGCTTGTTTTATTGTGACTCCTAAAGCACTTAGCAGGAGTCAGGCAGTTGCTGTTAAAACACAAAGCAGGCTTTTATTCTCACTTGATAAATTCCACAAAATTTCGCGTCAGAGTAAAGTCCGTGAGATTAATCATCTGCTTTTCAAGGGGCCTTAAAGATGAGCTGTAGCTATGATCAGTGTTGGAGCAATAAGCTGGAATACTGCAGAATCAATCCCCACTCAGTGTAAATAGTTGTTTAAATTGGCTTACAGAGAAAATCAAGTGATAATCAAACAATTATTTTTTCTTAATGAACAACATGGTAACATGGTTCCGTTCCCCACTTACATGGTCCCAGGATAATGTGGAAGTAATTTGCCTGTGGAATTGCTTGCTGATGGAGCTTCTCTCACAGTGATCCAAATATTAACTCTGGTTTCCCTTTTCTCCGTGGAAGCTTTGTAGCTTCTCCTGTTACCGTACGTTTAATGGCACAACGTAGACGATATAAAAACTTAAGGTATACGCATTTTCCCCAGAGATAAGATTGACTTACTGAGGTGTATATATGGATAGAAACCTCCGCAGCTTTATATGGAGCAGTCTCTGTTGTTTTTCTTTTTTTCCTTTTGTCTACGCTGATTGGAGAGCCGGCAACAACACAGCTCACATTAACAAATGGCTCTTAATGACTTCCTTATTTTTAGTTATTGAGTTATAGTTAAATCCAGGTCACATTTAATAACGCTCAGCCCACGTGTGGTGACAGGCCCAGCTAATACCGTTGTCTCCACTCGTCAGGAGAGAGCGCGAGGAGGGGGGTGGTGGTGGTGGTTAGTAGGAAGATATCTATTCTCCCCCAGCTCGGATTAAGCCTTGACTACTACACTCATTTTCCACTTTCCTATTAATGACCACGGCTACAATTATGATATTAGCAAAATGCAAATGGCTCTAATTGAAGACTCTCAGGTTTTAATAGGAGAAGGAGGGGGTGAAGGTATGCTTTATGCTGGAAATGGGACCAACATCATTTTCAGTGTCGTGTTACGGTTAGGAGGCATTATACACAGTGGGCCTCAATCTCCAAAGCACTCGAGATTCGCTTAGCGTCTTAATTGGTATGGGCCGTGCTAATAGCCACCAGGGGTTTTCAGCTGTAATTCTGTCTGCTGATTGGGCCAGGTAAGTGAGTCTTTCTCTCTTCTCGCTCGCCGCGTGTCTTCATATTCTGCATTTGAGAGTGTGGTCATCTTAATTGGCTAGAGATGGCAAACCATGTGTTAATTAATGGAAAATGAGGTCAAGGAGGTCAGCTGCCATCACTAGGTGGCCCCAAAACGTGGCCCTGTAAGCTCCGGGGCTCATTATGGGCACAGCTGGCACTCCATGTTCACAGGCTCTCGGTGAACGTGCGGAGCGTCGTCTCTTCTTATCCCAGTGTTATCACTCCATCACACTGGGTTGGTGCACTTCTGAGGCCAGTTATAACAGCTCTCAGACAGCAGGGCTCTCGTGGGCCAGCCAGGCCCAGAGCTGAGGGAGTGCTGAATTTCCAGCATGGATTTTTTTTTTTTTTTCATCTTTGTTTTTGTTACATTATTAGGCCAGCTAATAAATTACTCCCCTAATCCTCGGATATAAATGCAATCACAAATGGTATTGGGAGTTCTGCAGTTACATCCAGTAAGTAATGAGAATGTCCTGGTTAGCACAGTTAAACTGTAAACCAGGCTAATGGTTATATAGGTCTCTATGCTTTATAAAATGAGCATGTTTTTTTTTTTGTGCTCTTGATTTGCACATACATTATTTAGTTTCTGTACGGTATACTGTGCATGCCATCATTTTGCGCGTGTATTTTTATGCAGCACCACATATGCGTTGATCTCACCATTCATGAATCACTTTGTCAACAGACACACACACACACAAAAATCCAGAGACATGTGCACACTCAAATGTGCGTGGCTTGCGCTGTCTGGAAGCGGCTCACTTGGCTGTGGAGTTGCAAATGGGATGCTCTCATCAGTCTTCCCAGCAGGATGTCTGACTGTCACGCTGTTTCCATCATGGCCAAGTATTGGCGGCATCTAGTCCGTGCTATCCTGGGCGTGAGACCCCAGAGGAGAGGAGATGGAAATGTGTGTGTTAGCATGCACCAGTGACTTTTTCACTACCGATACTCTTTGTCAAGAACCAAACCTTATAAGTTGGTTGATACTGAGTACTCGTTTGATTTATCCTCTTGAGCTACAGAATTAAATGAGTGGTTTAAACTATAATGTATCTGCTTAATGAGTGGATATTTAGTCTCCGATCACTCTTCTTTCCATTTTGCCCATGTATTGTTTTACAGCTTTAATTTCCTCTAGGAAATTGACGACCCTGCCAGCCTTACGTCCCTTTCCTTAACTTTCAGCTAGAGTGCAGAACTTTATCATGTACACAAATGTGTGTTATGTTCAAGGGCTTGTCAAACAATTTCACACAATGCTGATTAAACTTATCAGTGGCAGGTCAATGTCTCTATTTTGCAGTGGAAAGGAGTATTAAGTCAAAGGTTTGTGGTGATATAATGTATTTTTGCGTTAAACGGCAATGATTTGTTTACAAGAGCTAAGGAGGGGAGCAACTGTGGTTACCGAGGCAGAGTACGTTACAGATCATAGTGGAGTTTATGGCATAAGGGCCTCTGAACTATCCAACAAAAGTTTCATCATCAAAAAGAAACTTGTCATTAAGAGAAAGGATTATAGTGTAAAAAAGAAAGTGGTCAACGACTAGGCGTATGTCACAAGCACACATTAACAGTGTTTGTGGGATTACTCTCACTGCCAGAAGCAAGAGACAAAAGTTCCTCCCTGCAAGGTCAACATCCGAGATGCAAGGTAGATACTGATGACTTTTGGATCTGATGCACACATTAAAAAAAAAACTGTAAACCTCACAAACGCAAACGCAAAATTTAATTGCAAGGCCTTTGTTTATTTACGTTTAATTAAAAATGAACTTTTCAACTCTCAGTGTTGATAGGGTGTTACTAATGGCGTGTAACCAATCACATAGTGCTGTAGGTGGGACACTGCTCAGGACAACTGAGTGATGACTACAAATAGAGGTGGCTGCATCAGAGCCAGGGTACGTCAATTTGAAATGATTGTTTTTGACCAGAAATTGTTAAACAATATTAATATATATACCGGTAATGCTGAATATTGGATCCGATAATCAGCTAGGCTAGCAAGATAATCAGTTGATGCTTCCTTTAAAGGGTTTCCTTGTGTACTCTGTCATGCGTTATACGTTTTGGATGTGTAATACATTTTTGGTAGCCCGCTTGTCGGCAGAGGTCGACACCAAAAGGGGAATGCTTCTCTGAGCCATTTATGGACAAAAATGCATCTTTTGATTTGAAAACCTGTAGGAGAAAGTTTTATGTCGGTGAGTGTTTTCATAGCTCTACAAGACCAATAATGTTTCAACACTTATTAGCAAAATTACCTAACTTATTGTGCAGTTTCAGGTTAATGCCCTAGTTAACCTTTCATGCACAACTAGTGTTTCTGTGTGCTCAGCCAGAAAAAAGGCATTGGATTCACCGAGGTATACAGGAGGATTTGGATTCAAAAAACCAATTCATGCTTGATTTGGACTGGATAAAGTGCCAGTGAACCCAACACTATCAACATTCCAGCATATGCAGACACATGGTCGTGTTCACATCGCTTTTCACAGTAATGCAACCACTACCTGGTGCATCGTCCTACATGTAGAACAGTGGGAGGTACAAGATTCATTTAATCCCTGACAGCTTTAAAAAATATGTTCTAATGGCTAACACTTTGCTTGGTGAAACCTGCAAATGCTGTACTATGAGTTTGCACATTAGACCTAACAGACCAGTAACTGCAGAAATTCAGTACAAAGGCGTATTCAGTGATTTACTCAGGTGTCATGACTGAAATGGGATTAAAGAGAAGCATATTTTCCTTTTGAGTGAACCAGCATTCTTTTATTCATGCCTTCTGCAAATCACGGGCATTTTAGTTCAACGATTCCACTTCTTACTCATTGATTTGTTCATTTGGATGCTTGTCACTTTCTTCACTTGCATAGGTCTATTAACTGGTCTTGCTTGAGAGATTTGTGTATTTATTGCTGTTAGCAGCAACGGGTATTTCGTGAGTCTGTGCTCTTTGTGAATGTGCACCTGAGGTTTTAAAGTACCCTGAGCGTAGTCTGTTAAAGAAGTTCTACCCTGCTGCTAGATTATTATAGCCTGCTGTCCACAGGTAGTGCTGATATTGGTGCTTACAAGAAAGGGCGTGTTGAATTGGCACGATCATGACATCGCCTGCTTGAAGGTGCAGATGTTAGTATGCATAAGGCATTAAAGCACTGTTGCCCTTCCCCGGCGTTTGATTGCGAGTGTGCGAGCGAACAGACACTTTTATGAGTCGGGCCCATCGGACACCGTCTCCCATCATTCCATCACTTCCCTAAGTGTGTGTGTCATTCCCTGCTCACATCACTCCTCTCTAACACACTCCATAACTCTTCAGCAGATATACAGCCATGTCAGCCTCGCCACAGAGCGGTCCATCGTAATGTACTGTAAATCTGGAGGAGGACTGTTGAAATCCTTTGTCTCAGATCAGTCTTTTGTCTTCGGGTCTCAGTAGACCGGAGATGGACTGGTGAGGGGGAGGAAGTGACTCCTTCACAGTGTGCTGGAGCAGTAGAAGGAGCAGTAAATCTGACAGCAGTGTTGGTGAATGCTCCAGCCACATCACTGTTGTGTCCTTAGCCTCAATAGGTTATAATTAGCTCTGAAAGGAGAGGGTCTGATTTACAAGTTGACTCAAGCTTGAAAAAGTGAACTCAGCCTAAGGTCATTCAGAAACACGTTATTTTCAGAGAGGTTGAATCCCACTGTTGTAACTGCCAAAGCCACTCCAGTGTTACATTATTTCTATGTACATAACAGCAGAGTAGTGTTGACCGAAGTCTGTTCCTGTCAGTGGTCACTCATTCAGTCGTGTCCTGTCTAAGTGTTTTTAATTGAACTCCAGACATTGTCAACAGCAGTCTTGACAAATAACTAATTGATGCCACATTTTACTCTAGTATTCACAAATGTTCTCCCGGCCTTACTTCTGCCTGTATTGTGATTGTAGTATGTTGCCAGTCTCAGGGGACCAGTATGGTGTGCAATGTTAGGGCCATAAGACCACCTGTAGACCACTTTTCTGCAGCCTCGTTAACTAAATACTAAGATACTTAGTCATGCTCATGAACACAGCAGCACACAGGTGTAAAATTTCCTCTTAAGTTGATGTCTGGCAAGGTGTCTGGGTCCGCTACCCTAAGGCTCAGGCTCATGCTAAAGTAGGATCTTAGTGTCAGATAGCAGAATATAGCTGCTAATGCTTCTAAAGTTTACAGCCAGGAGGACTCCAACAAAATGTATTTTGTTGTTCTTAAATAATTGAACAAGAGTTAATTATTTATTAGGAAAATCTGCGGGAAAAAAATAAAATAAAATTTGCATGTGTATTTGCAAGGTGGAGAAGTGGTTAGCACTGTTGCCTCGCAGCAAGAAGGTCGCCAGTGTGCGTCCCGGTGGTGACACCTGGGATCTTTCTGCGTGGAGTTTGCATGTTCTCCCCGTGCAGCGTGGGTTCTCTCCAGGTTCTCCGGCTTCCTCCCACACAGTCCAAAAACATGCTGAGGTTAATTGGTGATTCTAAATTGTCCGTAGGTGTGAATGTGATTGTGCTTGACTGGTGACCTGTCCAGGTGTCCCCTGCCTTCACCCTGAGTCAGCTGGGATAGACTCCAGCTAAAAAGAATTAAGCGGTGTATAGCTGATGGATGGATGAATCACTAACTTGTTCAGTGAGGACATGTGTGAGATTCACAGTCATGTGACTTGAAATAACATGAGGTGACTGAATTAGTTGACCTTTGAACATATCAGTTTATTGTGGCCTCTTGGTTTTGGAAACTCCACAACAAGCTAAATATGACAATGTACATTTGATACATCCTGGTGTTGTAAAGTTGTTATGGCTAACAAGCAAAAACTGGCCAATCTACACATCCAGAAGACACAGTGCAACATCAGAATCATAAAATGTTGTGTTTTTAGTGAGCTGATGAATGTATTTCCAATTTTCGTAGCTCGGTTTTTGTCTCTGGTTGTTTAGCTGGCACAAGCTGATCAAGCAGTCAGTTTGTTGTTGCTCCTGAAAGCTAGTATTTTGTGACTTGTGACCACAAATCCCACCATTAGAAGTTTACTCCTCTAGATTAGTTACTGTTGTGTTACTAACAGAGTGTACATACAGTCAGAGTGTTTGCTTAAATGTTTATTATGTAAGTATAAGCACAAGATTCAAGGTGTTTTCGTGGTGGCTCATAAATCTAATACTCTCAGCTCAACTTGATTGAAAGTGTTTTATTTCTCTAGTAAAGTGCTTTCTGGGGCAGCCTGATGGTGACTTGTGTCTACTGAATGGAAGAAAAATTCCCTCAGCAGTTGAATCCCTGGTTTGACCCTGTGTCCCTGTGTCTTTTTCTGCTCAAACTGTCTAATAAGGGCAAAAATGGAAAAAAAAAAATAATAAAAAAATCTTTTAAAAAGGCACTTGATGAAGAAGAATGCAGATAAGGAATCAGAGGAGAGCAGCCTGTGGATCCTGCTGGATTTGGGCGTGAAAGTGAGGTTGTGGGCTGATGTAATGTCACTATATTGGTACCCGGAGTGATAAATGTCAAGGTAGAGCTGATGTCTCAATATTGCTCTCTGCAGCCATGATTAATGACGGATGATGGCTGCTGTCAGTTTACAGTGTTGTGTATACTCTTCTCTATGAATGGACGTTGATTTATTGTTGATGCATTGTGTGTGTGTGTGTGTGTGTGTCCGTTTTCAGGCTACTTTTCATAGACACAGAGTTCCGAACGTTGAGGCTGAAAACTGAGGACTCCTCTGCAAGGCAGCACATTCTAACTATTAAACTCAAGTCTAAGGTAAGACACACTCTGTCCTGCACACACGGCAACACACACAGTTTACTGTAAGGACTGGATAAATTTCACACTGAAAATTATTCATCATCAAATGGAATACTCTACAGCGTGATGTTGACCTACAGCCAATCCAAATCCAAACAGGCCGACTTCACCAAACGCATATGGGGATGTTCAATTTGCTGATAGAAAATCAGCGATTTACATCTGTGCCCCTAAATCTAGGTCAAACTGAAGAGGGTGTGGAGAGACATGATAACCCGCTGTGACTGAGATGTAGCACAGATAAAACATCTCCACATAGACCTCAGCATGATGGAAAACCTTCCTCTATGCATAGAGAAAACCAATACACCCACACTCATCTGCATAGCTGCTGTCTCTGCTCACCACGGTCGAGAGAAACCCTTTACCCAGTGTAGGTAAAGGTAAATGGGATGGTCGTGTTGGTGGAATGGTAGCGTATTACAGGGCGTTAGAAATGTTTGCATGTCAGAGATCTCCAGATTGTGTTTAATGACATTTTGTCACTGGAACACAGTCATTTTGGTCGATTTTAATATTGAATTGCAAGAGGCATCTATAGTGGGAAGGGTCCACAGACTTTAACATTATCAAACTATTATAATTTTAAAGTATTTCTCGTTACTTGTAACTTCCTTTAGTAAACTCGAGATCAGCCTGACTGCTTCAGCAAAAATAATTTTAATAGAACTTGTGGTGTAGTGCTACCTGTGTTCACCTTAGAGCAGGGGTGTCAAATCCTGGTCCTCGAGGGCCACAGTCCTGCCACAGTTTTAGATGTTTCCTTCTTCCAACACACCTGATTCAAATGATCAGCTCATCATCAAGCTCTGCAGAAGCCTGATAACGATCCTGATCATTTGAATCAGGTGTGTTGTAAGAGGGACACATCTAAAACATGCAGGACCGTGGCCCTCGAGGACCAGGATTGGACACCCCTGCCTTAGAGTGTCCTCTTCTCAAAAATAAGTTTTGCTTCTATTTTACTTCATTTTGTTGTTCTTTTTTTCCAGAAGTGTGTACTAAGAAGCAAATTTGACATAGCCAGGCTTTCTTCTTGTCATCTCAAACCCTAGTCACAGATAATCTATCAGGCTAGCAGCATTCCTTGTTAACCAGGTTGTCTTCACTGGGCTCTGTGGGTGCTCCCGTAGAAGGGGGGAGTCTCAACTCTCGCACAAAATGGTTCATTCATGTGCCACCTGCTTAAGTTAAAAGGAACAGGTTGTGATAATGGAGAGCTGTGAAGAATATACAAATTTCTAAAACTGCTGCTGCAAACAATGCACGAGAGAAACGCTTGTAGAAAAGTGTTAATCATGCAAGTTACCACATTTGTTTTCCCACTCAGTGCACTCTTAATGCAGTTTCCAACATGACAGCTGCACCTTAAGCTCTGAAACATATATTTGAACATGATACTCAACAAGTGTATTTAGGTGTGATGTTAAATATCAAAATATCACACAAATATCAAATCAAAGTGGAGTTATTGTTAGTGGGGGACTATTCTCTTTAATAGAAAACAGTCGTCTCAGTGACTTTCTAATCTGTGTTGTTTGCATTTTCCACATCGCTAACTGAACGCATGTAGGTTCCCATGGCAACGCAACATATGCAGATTGTGAAACTGATAACTCTAACTTTAGGCTCAATATGTCTTGCTGTTTTTACATTTTATTGTCTGAAGGAGGAAAGTTTCTCTGAGCTTAAGACTCATTTTAAGACACCTTACATTAAAAATATTTTGAATGTCAATCAAATTGCAGCGAGCTACTTAAGGAAGCGATAAATGCAGCTTATAGCTTGTCACACACAGAATAGGAATGGACTTTGTAGTGATGGAGAAGTCTTATTTTGAGCAGTTAAACCTAAAAAAAATGTGCAGTACATGTCATAAATGTCATTTTTTTGTGGAAATAATAGATTAGACACATTTTTTTTTAAGCAGAGTCATTTTTACTGTCTTAATGCAGGACTGGAGAGGACATTTAAAGAATAATTCTTTCCCCATCTGGCTTCTCTTTAGTGTTTTAGATCTCAGTAATTAACTTTGTGACAACAGTGTTAAACTGAAAATATGACCAAAGTTGTCCTGCTAAAATTTTAGGGTCCTCGCATATTAAGTGGTCATGCCTTCTAATGTCACTGGCAGCTGGAGTTATTAGGACTTGAAAATGTACAAAACAAAAGGAAAAAAAACTGTTGAGGTTAAAGTATCAACTCAAAAATACTCTGAAACGGCTAATATGTAAAGGTTATATTTTCATGTGTCTCAGCCCTGCCTTTGACTTCAAAATCTATGTCAACATGAAGCATCTAGTCGCTGGCAGAAGTGGAAGTTGCTCAGAGTGGGGTTGCATATTCTGGGCATAGTGGGTGGTGTAGTGAGGTGGTGCTTACCTAAGCCCAGATGACATCCACTGGGGAAAAGGGAGGGTGGTGGGACCCCACTCTGTGCCCACCTGCCCACCTGGCCCCCCTCTCTCACCCCTCTGGCACCATGTAAAAATAGCTCAGAGCCCTCCCTGTGCTCCAGCTGCTTCCACCAGAACCAGCGCCAGGTCATCCCTCACCATGCACAGCTAGGGAGGAGGCAGCACTGGCACGGACTCATGGAGGTTTGGAAGGCAGGGGAGTGAGAGAGGACGAGAACAAGGGAAGGACGGAGAGTAGTGGGATGGTGAAGGTGAACAGCGAGAGGAAGTCTGGCTCACGTACTGACCAAAGCTTCTTATTGAAGACTTAGTAAGACTTGAGCAACACACGAAGCCAGCGGGCAGTAATGCCAGAGTCTTCTGTAGTGTTTTAAAGAAAAGATGGTTTAAAATAAATAGGCATTGATTGTTGATAACACGGCAAAAACATTTGGGACGAGTGGGATTGCCTTTATTGGAAGGGCTCACTTAAATTTATAGATCCAACATAAAGGTATTTTCCTACAGGTTGCTCTTTGATTTAGATTTTGGATTTAAACAGGATATAATCTTTCAAACTCTTCAATTGTGGAAGATTGACCTCCTACAGCACATGCAGACTGCTGTGGCATGTGGAGAAACCAAAAGCTGCATCTTGTTACTGTTACTAAACTATGATTGGCCAGTTGTTGACAGAACAAGAGGTTTAGTGAATGGTTCATTTCTTCTTTTTTTTAAACCTTGTTAGCATGTTCATATGGTGTTGTCTATGCTGGAAGAGCTGAACATTTCCAGCTTGTAGCTGCAGTGAGCTGATGACAGTCTCTAAACCATAGATTCAGAATGCAGAGGTTTTATACGTAACAAGAACCAATCCTGCCAAACTGCAGATTAGGATTTCGGTGCCATTCTTCTTCTTCAGAACCCTGGTTCTATCATGTAAGGCTGAATAACGCCAATACAACAACTTGCCATTGTGTAGCATAGACGAGTTTTACAATACCTGAGCATAGTTGTAAGTGAGCTGGTGTGCTTGAACTGCAGTGAGCGGGGAGGGGTGGATGAAGTGGAGGTTGGCAGGGAATTCAGAGTCACAGATTGTAAAGACAGAAAAGGTGTAGAGTTACATCTAAGACATTTTAAGGCTGGAAATGATTATTCTCATGGAAAAACTAAACTTCTAAATTTGTAACTTTGACATACAAAGATGAGATGACAAAAGTATGACATGACTAAAACACTTCATAGAATAAAATAGCATGACAAAGACATGACAAAGCATGAGGTTTGTTGGCCTTAACAGTCAAACATTTCTTTATAGTATTTATCTGAATAGGGTATATCGCTTACCAACCAATGCCGCATAACACCTTTAGCACAGTTTTTAAGCTGATTTTAGTAATCTTGCCAACATAGAATGATCATGTGAAAAGGAACTGCTAAAAGGAAAGAACAACATAAATGGCAAATGTATTTTAATACATTATCAAGACAGTTCAAAATTACAGTCCGTGGCCTCCTCTTCCAGATTTTTTTTTTCCACCCAGGGATTCTGAGGATCAGGTAGCTTTTATGTTTCAATAAAGCTTTAATGTATGCTACACAATTAACCCGTCTTCTACACCCACAGCACCCTGTGGAGGCTCCTGAATGCTCAGCTGACCTGCCACTCCCTTTGGCTTTAACATGGACTGCTCAGGTATGTACATCTGTCTACTGTTTTATTTAGACATTTGAAATGCTGCCTTAAGTATTATGGAAGGAATGAAATTGTGAGACAAGAGCAGGGACGCACAAGAAATACTCCTGACGTACTCACCTTTAGCTTCACGTTTCTCACATGACTCCGGTTCCACTGTACAGATGATGAATCACAATAGTGTTGTGTTGATCAGAACAGCATAGAATACATACACTCCATTATTATTAACACTAAGTAAATGGAGAAGTTTGCTCGCACTGACAACATGCTGCTACATTTCACTTGACTAAAGCAAAGTGTTACCGACTGTTACAAACTGAGCATCAACATAACACCAAATATGTTTTTAACATTTACAGATTTTGCATTTAAAGGTCCCTTTTTTGCAGAATAGTAGTGAAAAAACACTAATTGATATTTCAAGTACACTACAATTCTGCACTTATTCCTGCAAAGTTCTTAAACACTTTCCAAATGAAAGTCTTTCTGACAGGAGCTGTGTGTATCGTGCTGAGAAAATCTCTGTCCAGGAGATCCAAAAATCTCACATGGTCTTCATCAACAGATTAAATAAAGTCATCAAATTGTTTTAATGAATTGTAGCTTCTTCTTCTTTTTTTTTTTTTTTTGGAGCGCATTCAGGACTTGTCTTGAAAAAACAAAATTCAGGTTGGTTGTAGACCTTTAAAACAGGACTACATGTGAGTTCTACTTCCTGCCCTTTTATTTTTATAGCAATCTGGCATAGAAACCATCATGCAGATTTTGCTTATCATCATGCTTTCCATAACTAAATTGCTGGATTATTGACTCACCCCCACTTAGAGTCCTATTTAGTTTCATGGTGGCAGACAGTAGTGCTTGTTTCAGCCTTAAATAGCATCTGCAGCTCTCCCATTCAGGCTGTATTCAGTTCATGCTTGGAGCAAAGGGTTAACAACAGTCCTGCTATAGATATCACCTGCATTTAATCATTCAGATTTCACAATAACTGTTTTTTACATGTAGCCCTGTGATAGACTGGTGACCTGTCCAGGGTGTCCCCTGCCTTCGTCCTAAGTCAGCTGGGATAGGCTCCAGCCCCCCGCGACCTTCGTGAGGATTAAGCGGTGTATAGATAATGGATGGATGGATGGATGTTTTTTACATTCTTTTGTCCCCTTCTGTGAGTGACAGTGGGCGAAGCTTGTAGAAGTAGTACTACAACCAGGAACCTAATCATTTTAAAGGCCATAACAAATTACGTTATGAGAAACAGCCGATTGCGTGAAGTGCATAACCTTATTTATGAGTCAAATGTATTTGATACCTTTAAAATTCTTTACTGTTAACCCTCAGAGTTTTGTAATTTGATGTTTTTTTTTAAGCCCTTTGAGATTCAAACTCTGATTAAGGTCTAAATACATACACTTGACTCATCCTTTGCTACCTATTGCATAATTTGACAAAATACATCTCCACCTGCTCTATTAAGACGTTTTCCTTCAGCCCCTTTAAATTTTACTCCACTATAATTGGCATAAAAAGTGCTTTGATGTAAAACCAGCTGTGGGCTCTTTACGTCTCTTTGCCTACTCGTTATTGTTGTTTTGGTTCTTTAACTCCAGCGCTGCTTTTCATCTCTGTCACTGCCTCTGAGTCTGAGTGTCACTTACTCAGTCTCACACACACACATGGATGTCGGATGTCTTCGTTTTTTTTACAGTTACAGTCATATTGTCTACTGCTCTATATCTGAGCATTACACTGAACTGGTCTTCCCTAGTGTGTTGCTAATGTCTACCTTTGTAAAGACCCATTTGAATTTTGGACCATGGGAGTGAGGATTTGTTTGGAGTGTAAAGAGCTGTGGAATGCATATGTCGCACATACGTGTGTGTGTGTTGAGCGACGATGTAGGCAAAAATCAGAGAGAATGGTGAGAAAGAGAATTTGAGGAGAGAAATGCTAGTGTGTGTGTTTGCGTGTGTGTGTGTGTGTTGCCGAGCTGATACATGGCAGGCGTACAGTGAGGACCAGCTTAGAACAGCGCTACCGTATGGAGCCTGTCTGCCTGCTGGGCCGTTGATGGATCTCTCCCACACTGCAACATGAAGTGTGCGTGTGTGTATATGTACATGTGTGTACGTGCCTGCATCTGCGCCAAGTGTGTTTTTTGTCTTGTGTGTGAAGGATGTGTGTGCATGCGCGTGTGTGTGTGTGTGTGTGTGTGTGTGTGTGTGTGTGTGGCAGGGGGAAGGGCCTGTCTGTCGGCAGTCCTGACATGTTCATTTGAATGAGTAATTATTGCCTGCTCTGTTGCAGGGCCAAGACGTGCCACTCTGTGCATTTGTGTGGAACTAGAATGGGAAGCGAAATAAACCTCATTGTGTGTGTGTGTGTGTGTGTCCCCGTGTCTTTTGCGCTTGCAAGCAGCTATAAAGTGTTTTTTAACAACTAAAAAGTGCATGTATTGTGAGATGAAGGAAGTTTTAGGGTGAATAAAAATGTGAGAGGTGTGTGTGACTGGCTGGGTGAACAGTGGACACCAAAGCTCCTGTTGAATACACATCATAGTGTGTTGGTTGTGCTTGTTCTTGATGCAGACAGCCTACTATGTGTACATTTCCTGAATTAAAAACATGGCTATATTGTCCAGGAGAATATGCAAAGGTTGTTAAATGTATTTTGACAGTTAAGCCACACTTAAATAGCTATAGATTTCATAGCATTATCTACACACTATCCGTCCATCCATCCATCCATCCATCCATCCATCCATTATCTATCCATCCATCCATCCATCCATCCATCCATCCATCCATCCATTATCTACACACCGCTTAATCCTCGCGAGGGTCACGGGGGAGCTGGAGCCTATCCCAGCTGACTTAGAACCCAGAGAGAACCCACGCTACATGGGGAGAACATGCAAACCCAATGCAAAAAGATCCTGGGTGTCCTCACCGGGATGTGAACCGGCAACCTTCTTGCTGCGAGGCAATGGTGCTAACCACCGCTCCACCTTGCAGCCCACAAGTACACTAGTTAAGCAAAAAAAGAAGACAGATTTTATATGATAGAACTATGGATTTTGATCTATCCATTCATTAGCTATACCACTTTATCCCAAAGAGTGTCACGGGGGCTAAAGCCAATCCCAGCTGACACTGGACCAGCGGTACAGTACAGCCTGGACAGGTCCACCATCTATCACAGGGCTAAAACTACAGATATGCAGTACAGAGTGAAGGCAAAAACGTACTTGAAATCCCCACAGGGGCCTCACTAAAGTCACAGTTATGCAGTTAGGTTTTAGTCTTTAGTTGGCCATCCTTTAGCTTTTAGAGCAGCTGGACAACATCTGGCCATAGAATCAAGCAGTTTCTATAACAGCTGTGGTCAAAGTTCTGTCCATGTTACGGCCAGCAAAGCTTTCAGCTAATCTACACCACAGCATAGACGAGCTGAAATGTTTTTCACCATGGATGCTCTATGGGATTTAGGTCAGGGCTCTGGGAGGTCCATTCTAATGCTTTGATTTTGTCTTGGGCAAAATGTTTTTCAGCAGATGGCTGCTATGCATAAGATCATTTTATACAGAGAAATGAACTTCTGTTGTGTGAATGATTTTTATTTTTTTGGCTTTTTTTTTTTTTCTTTTTCAGTCTGCATCCATACTTCCTCAGTACATTGGTGCTCCTTGTGCTTTACCTCCTCAATGCAATGTTGTGGGAATTCTTCACCTGGCTTTATACATGCAAATGTTCTACTGTCAGATCGATGTAGGCTAATTTGGACTTCCAACAACAGAATCTGTCAGCGCAAGTTCTTCTAGAAATTTGAAAATTTGAGTAAAGTTGACTAAAAGAAGTGGCTATTCAGTTAACATCCAATACCATGTTTCTTAGCCCTGGGTTATTCCAGTTGGGGTTGATTGGAGTGCTAATGAACCAGTTTTCTACCTCCTAGACCTTCCAGATAATCAGTGTTATTTGCTTCTTCTGTGAGAGGGGAGAATGTTTTGGCTGTTCTGTGTAAATAAACAGTAAAAATCTGAATTTCACATGTAAATGACATTATGAGTCAGGATCAGCATTTAAGCTTGAGTGTTCCTCAGATAGTTCTGTAAGACACTGAAAACACATTTTACTTTGTTGGCCTGTGTTTATCGCAAAAAAAAAAAAAAGCAATACAGAAAGCCAGTCTCGCTGACATACTTTATAAACCACTAATTAACAATCACTTTACCTGATTGTGCTCTGCGCTTCATGTTTTGCATACAGATTACAGTGGGCATGCCTACAGTCCCTTATAACATATTTACATTTAGCTTCTAACGCATATATTCACACAGCAACAACTCACACGGCCACATCATGTGTGTTCTCTTGCAATTCTAAAAAGATAGGATGGCAGTAGTCTGGGGTATTTCTACAATAGCGAGTGAATAATAATAGCTGCTCAATGAGAGAAGAAGTTACAAAAAAAAGGGTTAAAAACTGTGAAGTTTAACAGCATCTGAGCAAAGAGGAGTGAATTCTTTCAGCCCGACTGCTTTCAGGAGCTAAATTGAGGTCAGTCAGAGATATCATAAATAGATAAAGAGGACTGATTGAGATGGCCAATTAGCAAATCTCAGCTCAGATTCAGTCTCTTTCATACTTTCCTAGAGTCTTCCGCTCTCACTCATGTTCTTCTCTCAGATGCAGCAGGAATTCAATTACCAGCTCTTCTTCCTTTTTTTTTTTTTTTTCTTCTTTCTGAACTGGGCCTAGCGTAGTTATCCTGAGCTGTAACCATAATCATACCTCTGGCATTAATTGGGCTGTAATTGCTGAGGCTCTCAGCACCTGGACGATGCTTAATTGTGTGCACTGTGCTGGCACAATGACCCATAATTTTTGGTTCATTTTTTCCCCTAATTTTTTCCCTCTCATTCCATCTGTATTCCTCTCCCACACCTTTATCAGCCTCCCTTTCTCTTCTCTGTGTGTGTGTATGCATGTGAACATGTGTGTGCGCCTTAAGTTGTTACAGTTTTTACCTACTGGTCATTTGCTATCTGCACTTCCAGTTCAATCCAGTTTCCTCTAATGAAACGTGGCAGTAGGGGACCTCTGCATTTACATTCACAGCTTTTCAGTGTTCTCCAACCAGCTAGTAATGAAATAATGGAAATATGGAATTATCCACAATAATGGAATGTGAAAATTAATTGATTATCTCTCTGTGGCTGAGCATGATGCAGCTGGGATGTGGATCAACACATCCAAATCAGAGACCATAGTACTCTCTCAGAAGAGGGTGGTAGAATTCCCTCAGGTGAAGGGGCAGAGCCTATCACGTGAAGAAGTTTATCTTGTGTCTTTTGGTCTTGTTTGAGTGATGGGAAAAGGGAATATAAGATCAACCATAGGTTTGGTGGAGCTTATGCAGTGATGTAGTGGTTATACCCAACCCTACTGGTGAATAGGGAGATGAACTCTAAGGCAAAGCTCACAATTCGCTCTACGTCCCTATATGGTTGTGAATTTTGGGGAAATGACTAGAAGATAAAGATGACAAATACAAGCAGCTTGAATATTTTTTCTCTATGGGGTGGCTTGGCATATTCTGTGAGATTGGATGAGAAGTTTAGAAATCTCTGAGGAGCTCAGAGCACATCCACTGCTTCTCCACATTGAGAGGAGGCAGTTATAAAGACACCCCTTGAGCACCTCCCTGTAGAGGTCCACCTGGCACAAAGCCCTGGGGTCAAGAGTTCAGAGACTGTGCCAGTGAAAATCAAAAACTATTACAACGGGGCTGCAAGGTGACTCGGTGGATAGCACTGTTGCCTCACAGCAAGAATGTCACCGGTTCGTGTCCTGGTGGGGGCACCAGGGTTTCTCCAGCTTCTAGTCTTTATGCTAAGTTAAGATAACTTTAGTCCAGATCTGTACTGACACAAACATTAGACTGTCATTAACCCTCCTATTGTCTTTGAGGTCAGTTTGACTCCATTCAATGTTTAACATCTCTAAATAAGTCATTGACGTCATTTTTTTCAGTTTTCTTTAAAGGGCTATTTACACGTAACCTTGGTTAACAATTTTATTTATGGTATTTTCTGAAGGTTTAAATTGCTGGGGTCAAATTAAACCCAGGGGCTGCAAGGTGGCTTGGTGGGTAGCATCGTTGCCTCGCAGCAAGAAGGTCACCGGTTCGCATTACTACACCGGGATCTTTCTGTGTGGAGTTTGCATGTTCTCCACGTGCAGCGTGGGTTCTCTCCGGGTTCTCCAGCTTCCTCCCACACAGTCCAACAACATGCTGAGGTTAATTGGTGATTGTAAATTGTCCGTAGGTGTGAATGTGAGTGTGCTTGGTTGTCTGTCTCTAAGTGTAGCCCTGCACTAGAAAGGATTAAACGGTGTATAGATAATGGATGGATGGAAATTGAACCCAAGGATAAAAGATGTCAGTAAATTTGAAGGTAATAGGAGGGTTAACCTTCTCATCTAACTTACAAAAAGAAAGTAGCTGTTTTTCCTGAAGTACTGAGGAAAAACAACATCTTTCTATTTTATGATGTCTGCAAATAAATCAAATTCTGGAGTGTTACCAACTTGCAGTCATACAAATGACACCTCCACTTAGAACCATATAACAGAACCTTAACTGACTGCTGCTGCAGAATTACTCTCACCTCTGTAACTAACCGCTGTGCCTCCTCTGGTCTGGTTTTCTAGAGTACTCTGAAGCAGCTCCACAGCCAGTTTCTGCTGGTTCTGGAGTCTCTGACAGAGTTCTGGGATGTTCTGGATGAGATTGACAACAAGACTTGGATTCTGGAGCCAGAAAAGCCCTGCCAGTCCGACACCATGAGGCGAATTGCCATCGGTACAGTTTAACACGTTGGATGCTAACTCTGGATGTCAGGCACTACACAGTATATGCACCGCACATTGTCTCTTTGGACTTCACAGGTTAATGTTGACCACGCAACTGAATATCACACCTACGCCGATACTTATCAGTCCATATGATAAGGGAGTAACAAGTGTGTCCCCGTCTGTGTGTGCAGGAAACAACATATCCATCAAAGTGGAGGTGGATCCCAGACACCCAAAGATGCTGCCAGAGTGCTGCCTGCTGGGAGCAGAGCATGGTGGGTAGGACCCCAGAGACATGGCAACACTTCAAAGTGTGTTTTCAGGCAGTGCAAGAGCATAAGAAGTGTATCTGCACTATTACACCCCCAAAACTGACACACCGTATTATAGCATGGGAAATCCTCTCCTCATTATAATACACTTATTGAGTAGCTGTGAGGGTTGTGAGCAACATTTAAGCTACTTTTAGGGTTTTCAGGTGACAAAGCCAGGTGACAGTGATGAAAAGAATCAACAGCTGACAGAAACAGAGTGTCTGGTCAGCAGTTGTCCGCTTCCTCATGAAATAGGCGACAACTCCTCCGTCGGGGTCACGCAATGTAGCAAACATTACAGCTTCTCTAATCTTAGACTGTCTGATGAGTTTTTTCAGTCTCAGGTCAGCAGGTCAGCTGTCAAGTAGGACTGATGGAATCTACTCTGGAATCATAACCAGACCCTCCCCACACACACACACACACACACACCGAAAAACAGTTTAAATGCGTGTATTTATTGTAACCCAGAAAATAGCACGTGCAAATCTGTGCCTTCCTCATTTCTAACAAAGGAATAATAAGCCTGTCTCTCTGTATTATTAACACACTGAAACAGAACTGAGATTTCATTGCATTTACATCTCAAAGCACATAAATGCAGCAAACAAAACATCTGCTCTTGTTTGAGGGACACTGTTCTTTGTTGCTGTAGCTTTGATGAATGCTCAGTTATTTCTTTTTTTTTGAAGATTAACACAATTAGCATTCGTAAATCAATATATAAATTAAGCCATGTATTTATTTTTCAACAACGAGCAGGAGGAGGTTTTGTTTTTTTTGTTTTTTTTCGGGCTGTGAACAGCTCCAACAAGCTCCACTAAAATCTGGGCCAGGATCTGTGCAGAGGTGGCAAAACCCGGGTAAAAATAAAATAATAGTAATAATAATGTTCACTTGCTTTTTACTGTGACACACACTCTGGCTTTTAGCGACTGTCAGTGACACTGCTTCGAGAGATTATAATGAGAAATCCAGTCTGTAAAATCTGTCAGAAAGGGGAGACAGATATAGAACTCTAAAAATCAGTAACTTGACAAAAAAAAAAAAAAGCAAATTCATGTGTTAAATGTCATCAAAACTGGAAAATCACTACAAATGTTTCATGGGATTCTACTTGCAAATCCAACGACTGCTACAGTTTTATTCAATCCATTGATTTCAGTCATAAAGTTTGCTGTGACTTGGGCCTGTGTCCTAATAAAGGGACCCAAGTAGAGCTATTTTATGTCTCGGGTTGTTTGACATCATTTATGTGGACAGTGACATTTGTTTAAACAGGCTAAGCAATTGTTAGCCTGACCGATTGTCAGATCTCAAATTTAGTAGGTGTTTTTCTGATTTTTTACACAGCACAAGTAACAGCCATGAACATCCATCCATTATCTATGCACCACTTAATCCTCACTAGGGTCATGGGGGGCTGGAGTCTATCCCAGCTGACTCAGGGTGAAGGCAGGGGACACCCTGGACAGGTCACCAGTCTATCACAGGGCCACACGTAGAGACAGACAACCAAGCACACTCACATTCACACCTACGGACAATTTAGAATCACCAATTAACCTCAACATGTTTTTGAACTGTGGGAGGAAGCCGGAGAACCCGGAGAGAAACCACGCTGCACGGGGAGAACATGCAGACTCCACACAAAAAGATCCCAGGTGTCCGCGAACCGGCGACCTTCTTGCTGCGAGGCAACAATGCTAACCACGGAGTCATCTGGCAGCCCCTATACATGAACACTGAAGGATAAAAGTTGAAAAGTTCTCCTTTAATTAAACATATCTAAAACATTACTGAACAAAGGCTTTTCAGTGAAGTTTTGTCTTGGAGTTTATGTTCCAAATTTAAATATCAGGATTTTCTTTGTTCATGTTGGTAATCGTAACAATATATCGTGTATAGGAACCAGCCTTGGAGAACCCATACTGTTTGACCCCTATTTGTTTGTCTGTTTACAAGCCAGATTATGCAAAGAAGAGAGGTGTAGCATCTCTAAAGGCAGAACACGTTAAATTTAGTGCAGGTCTAGGGGACTGTCCTTGACATCCGCTTTAAGGATCATATCGTCTTTAAAATCTCTCAGAAGTAAAAAAAATAATTGGAGGTTAATGTCACTAATTCTTTAGAAAAACAGTGATCAATAACCCGACTAATTGTTCCATCACAAATTGCCGGTTCGCAGCCTGTATCACTGCAAGCATGTGTGTATCCCGCCTGTTTTCACATAATACTCCACCAGGCAAGGATCAGCCCAGGCAATAAAGTACAAATTTAGTGTGTGCCACCATTACCCAGATCAGATCAGTGAAAAGCCATCAGGCATGGATGAAAAAGGAATTGCACTTCTTCTTCTAATCTCCGCGCGTCTCAGCCTCGACCAGACTGGTTGTGTTGACTGTTGTGTGTTGTCATGTCAGAGGACTTGCTTCCAGAATGGCACGTTTTCATTCGCACCACACTGACACCGGCGCCAGCCTGCGAGCTTGGGCTCCAGCTTTCTATTTAAGTCCCCGTCAATTGTCGGCCATTGTTTCTGTAAACCCAAGGTCACGCAACTCCTAGCCTGTTGCCTAGCAATGCAACTCAAAAGATATTAAACACATGCACACTTCAGCCACCAAGACGGGAGGCAGGCGGCGACCCTCAAATACGGGGGGTCGCGCAGAAATATTGCTTTTTGCATGTAGGAATAACAAATAGTGAAAGTGATGAGTGCTGCACGGAGACAAAGCTCCCCTGTGGAACAGAGGAAGCGATGATGGTTCATATCTGACAGCGGTGACGCCGCCGTCTGTGGTGAACCGGGCTGTTGTCAAATAGGAGACGCCGTTTGAGGGTATGCAGAGTGTGTGTGTTTTTTTATATACACAGACTGTCTAATTTTCCAAGGCTTACGTACAATAATAGCGTATCTGCAGATTCTTAGAATGTGTGACATGGTGTCATATTTAAGGCTGGTATTATTATTAGAATTTACATCCTGTACCTAATAATTGCTTTTGTTTTGTCGTTGCAGTCGTGACTCCGCTGAGGAATAAGCTGAATGCCAACATGCACTTGTGGTAAGATTGTGTGCTTCGGTGTGGGGTTTGGACCGGGTGAGCATCCAATAGAATCATTTGTTTTTAAAGCAGAATATCCTAATTATGTGATCGTCAGTTACTGTTTTCTAAACATTGTCAAGGTAGCATTCAAACTGTCTTATTGAGAGTTCAGGTGGAGGAATTTAGTGGATTTCGTGTATGACAGACACACACGACTATATATCAGTTTGATTATTTTATGTGATCTTAGGTTATTGTCAACAAATCAAATGGACAAAACAAAACCAGCAATGTGTTGCTCCATCTACTCAATACTGATTTCTCACCCAATCTGTGGCTCATTTATGAGAATGGAAGAGTTTAAAGCTGCATTTGCTTCGACCACTACGACCATGTCTAACGTAAAAGCAGTCACTTTTAACCACAGAGAAATATCATCAGACTCTGGACTTTCCATTGAGCGTTTTAGTATCTTTCTGGCTGTTGTTTTGGTTCATTGACCGAGCATTCTGCTTCAGTCTCATCAGCCTTGTTTCCAGCAGCAACAAGCATTCGTTTTCAGCTAGAAAAGCGTAGATGGACCCACTGCACGCTACCTGCCCAGCACCCAACAGCAGACGGACCCAGTCAGTAAACAGCTGGTGAACATGGTGGAGCATTAAGGAGCTAAAGAGCCACAGTCAGGATTTCCAGAGTCAACATCGACTCCAGGGTGGGTTAACAGTTCAAGAAAACAGATGCAAATGCATTTAAAAGGGAAAAAAAAGGCAGTGTGCTTATTAGCCATCTGTTTGTCTAGTAAAAATACAAAAGGACAGCAGTGTGATACATGTGCAACCAGACAAGCTTTTTATTTTATATGCTAACCATAATCAGCCGCCTAACACATAAACTAAATAAACTGAACAAATAAATACCATTTGATGCACCAGCTACACATCGTCTTAATCTGATATCAGAAGTGCCAGAGCCTGTTGAAATGAATACACGAGGCAGCCAAGTCATTAGAGAATGCATTATTTGAAATCAAAATGAAAATGTAACTTTAAAAACAATTCTGGCTTTTCAGTCAGACAATGTTTTCCTGCTCTACAATGTAGGATACTGACTTCTGAGATTTAGTGAATGACCAGTGATGCTTCAACAAAAACACAGCTTCAAGTCAAAGTCAGTGTTGCTCTGTGTGTGTTGGATGTATGAATCTATGCATGATCAGCCAATTGCACTAAGCAAAAAATAAAATAGTGCAGGTATAAAAAATGTGGTTTCATTAATCCACTGAACTCCAAGCAGCTACTAAGTGTTTTTTTCACTCCTGGCACATTTTTACACACTCTGGGTTAATTTTTTACTTCAACATAAAGTCGTGCACCTCTATGGAAACAGCAACACCTAGACAAACTAGAAATAGAGAACTGAAAATGTTCCTTGTGCTGTATGACACTGTTGTAATTCCATAAATCACAAATGAAGGAAAAATTTGACTTTCTTTCGTTTATGTTGCAAAAAGTAATAAAACCTGCAATCAACATGCACAGATTTTTTCCACGTGCCCACAGCTGTTCCAACACTGGGAAACACGATGACTCTACATGTTCTAGATATTTTAATACATGCTTTTTTAATTTATGTCCAGACTTTTCTCCTGTGCTGTTTAAACACAGCCTGCAGTTCAGCTATAAAGTCCCTAAAGTTTGGTCACATGACCATTGGCCACAGCTGAGTCAGCCATGGCTTCACGGTTTCACCAAGGTGTGCAGGAGTGTTTTTGGTTTTGTTTTTTTTCCCCCCCAGAGAATCTGGTTTGTATTTGGGGCTGCAAGGTGGAGTGATGGTTAGCACTGTTGCCTCACAGCAAGAAGGTCGCCGATTCATGTCCTAGTGAGGACACCCGGGATCTTTCTGCGTGGAGTTTGCATGTTCTCCCCGTGCAGCGTGGGTTCTCCGGCTTCCTCCCAAAATCATGTTGAGGTTAATTGGTGATTCTAAATTGTCCGTAGGTGTGAATGTGAGTGTGCTTGGTTGTCTGTCTCTAAGTGTGGCCCTGTGATAGACTGGTGACCTGTCCAGGGTGTCCCCTGCCTTCACCCTAAGTCAGCTGGGATAGACTCCAGCCCCCCATGACCCTAGTGAGGATTAAGTGGTGTATAGATAATGGATGGATGGATGGTTTGTATTTGGCAAATTATTAGATGAGACATCAAGTGATTTTAATGTAATATGATTTTAAACTTGGATTTGGTATAACTTTACAGACGGAAGGGCAGTTAAAAGAAAATTAAAAATCCAAGAATTGTCTCAGTTTTTTACTGTTTCTGGCTGATAAATAGTTTAATTTTGCTTTTTTTTTTAATGACATGTCTTTTAAACACATTGGAACGTTTTTGGGGTTCAGAAGTTTAACAAAAAGTCTTATTTTTTCCCTTGTTGGTTCCTGTAGTTTTCACAAAAAAAGGAACCAATAGTATCAGTAAATAGTCAGTAATTAGCAGGATAGCTGAATAAGGCTAGAAACGAGGCTTGCAGCCTACGTGGTAAATCACCATATGCATGCATTGAGGCAGGAACGGAACACTTCAGAAGTTTCTTGGCAATCAATAAAGTTCTATCTAATCTAATCATCTGGTTTTTCAGTTTTCTCCAGGACCAAAGTAAATCAGTGATACTTGTCAAAGGTAACGAAAGGACCTGTTAACATGGTAGCTAATTCTGCATCGCTCGTTTTCAAAATGCAAACAAGTAGGTTAAAAAGTGAGTCAGTGTAGCTGACTGTAGTCATGGTCACATTATGTTGCTTATCGCCTGTTTTGTAGATGCTTTCATACAAAATCACAAAATAAGGAAGTTCCATTCAGAGTCTTTCCTCCAACTTCAAGCCACTTCATATGTAACAAACTGCTGGTTTTGTTTTTTTTCCATATTTGTAGGTTTCTTTGTATCTTTACATCCCACAGCATTGCCAGTGTCTGACTGGAACCCTGCATACCAGCTCAACCACTCTGAGGGCACAGAACCATCTGATTATCACTCAGGGCGAGAAAAAAAAAAACATAATTACTCTTCATTTTGAACCGAAGTGCAGATTTTAAATTTCACCACAGGTTATAACATTTGCCTCCCTGCATGACACATCTCATGAAATTCTCCCTCCACTTCCTTTTTATATACCAATGGTGAAAGTCTCCTAATCATCCCTCAGTGTCTTTGCAGGCTCATTTGCATGTGGTTAATTAGTGTGTGAAGGAGCTGTCTGTGGTCTGCTGGCAGGAACCCGGACTCCAGCGTCTTGCACAACCTCCGGGATGTTTTGGAGATCGAATTCCCGTCACCTGCCACCCACGAAAAATCTGTATGTCACACAGTTGCCCCCTTTTCCATTTCAAACATGTCCATTCCCATCACGGTTACGTCTAGGAGCTGTGTGAGTGTGTTTACATGTATGCATTCATCCTGCTGTTTGTGTGTCTGTTTCAGCTTCAAGTTATAAGGGGGCGGACGTACACCGCTGCCTATTTTTCTGTCTATTTCCATATTTTTCTTTCTCTGTGTTGTGTTTTTTTCTAAGAGGTGGGCACAAATTCCCCTTTAATTGGGTTGTTTACACATAAGATCATTAGAATAACAAAGATGGCAGAATTCTCTGCGCTATCAAACTGCTTTAATCACGCAAAACCATTTATCTCTCTCTCTTTTTTTTAAAACACTCTTTCTTTCCCCTCTCCTCTCTGCGGATGGGTTGAAAGGGCGTTGTGTTTATCCGCTGTCGCTGCGGTGATTAATGCCTCAGCTTCATTAACATTCAGAGGAGTGCAAAAAAGTTGAGTTGACCAGATGTTGATTTTTTATTTATTTTTTTTTTTTGCCTGCCATCCTCTCTCTCTCTTAATGGATAGCTCCAGAAAGAAAAAGGAAAAAAAAATAAATCAGGAGCTTCTCATTACGCCAAAATGCAAACGAGAGCAGAGAGAAAGTGTGTGTTGAAGGTGTGATGGTGGGACGAGAGAGGCCGAGGAAACTCCCGCTGCTGCAGGGTGATGTCTGCTGCTGGAGGTTTTACAAGAGGGCGGTTTATCACTAAGTGCTTACTGAAGCGCTGCCTGAATTTTCAGCATCTGTGAACACAATATGTGTAAAAAAAAAAAAAAAAAAAGCATGTAAGAAAGAATGCTGAATATCTGCAGTCATTGTTTTCTGTGTGTGTGTGTGTGTGTGTAGGATTTGAGTGTTGAGTGTGGCATCTGTTACTCCTATCGTCTTGAAGCTGCCATCCCTGATCAGGTGTGTAATGACCCTCGCTGTGGCCAGCCCTTCCACCAGGCCTGTCTCTATGAGGTATGGACACACACACACACACACACTGAGCAGCTCCCACAGAGTTTCACTTCTACGTCAGCAGGCTTCCCTCCACTTCAGAGACACACTTCAGTGCTGAATAATGAAACGTGAGGACAAGAATAGACAGATGTTTTCACATCAGCTTTCCATAATACATTATGAAGGAAGTAGTGGGCGGGGCTTTCTCAAACCTTTAACTGTCCATCAGCGCACGTCGTTTTTCATTTTAAAATGATATGTCATGGTTCAGCACTGGCCTTTTAGTTACAACTGGATATGAACTGTTTGGGAGAATTTGATATGAAGGTTTCAAACTGTACTGGTGTATAATAAGCAAACTCCTGAGTTTGTAGATTCTTTTGAAGCCAAAAGAAAGTTTCAGTAGTTTTTCTTTATTATATTTTTTTTATGAGAAAGCAGCTCATTACACCAAGAGCCTGTATTTTTCAAACTTCACTTGTCATAATGTAGGTGGACACACCATTAGACACCACACATATTAATTTTTAATGTTACAAATTGTTACTAAACTATTACTACGTGCAGCGTATCTCTATTAAAGGGAAATCCCTCTGCTTTCACATGTCAAGCACTGTTAAGGCCAGTCACATGGTCCATCAGGAGGTACAGAGATCAACAACCTCACAAAGTACACTGTGAAAGGTTTTATTCCAGATATCAATAATTCTGCTGCTACTGAGGAATCATAAAAAAAAATCACACCTGAACCTTTGACTGAACCGTCGGCACTCAGATTAGTTTGTATCTGCTGTCCATCGCACATCTGTATACAGATAGGCAACATGGCCGCTCCCCAGAAGTGAAGTAAAATTATCTTGGAATGACTGCTTCTGTCTAACACAGGTGACATCATTTGCACAACCACCCTATTGTTGTGTTATTTTTACTTTTATGTGCATTTTCAAGTATTACATCAATAAATAGTTCATTGAAACAGCAAAATCTGAAAAAGCATCACCGATTTTACTAAATGTTTTTTTTCAACTCACAAAAAAAAAACATTCATGAGGTAATGATGGAAACGCCTTTTGTCAAATAAGTCCCCGTGTAGCAAATGTTCAACTTACATAACAGATCAAATGCCTCTGTGGTTGTCTTTGTTTCTCGACAGCATGAAACATGCCTAACGCCAGCTGACATTAAAAAGAAGAATTACATTTTATAATTACATTACATAATTGCATTTACATTCTTCTTCTTCAGTCACTCCTGCACACACTCTGGTTGCAGATGACTTGTAGCTGCAAGATGGAAGCTCCCCTTTCTGTACAGTGGAAGGAAGTGGTGAATCTTTAGCAGCGGTCTTTATATACCGTTCAGTATGAGGTTAGGGTTCCGAGCGGCTGACCTGGACCTACACCCACATCAGCTCTGACAGACTGAGTGCGTTGCTTAGATGGAGGCAGTGGGAGAAATGGGCTTATGGGTGTTTTTAGACCACCAGGGAAGATCTGCAGGCACAGGTGGGGGGCAACAAAGCTATTAGCAGCAGTCACGGGGCGCAAAGGGTTAAGGGGCTCCACTGATTGGCTGTTGTGATCCAGGTGGAGTCTCTTCATGCACCTCAACATTTTCATGATAGTAGGTGAAATAATCAAACATTCTGCAAAACTTTTTTCTTACTTCTGTACATAGCTCTCATTTTATGAGCCAGGCCTTTAGTTTAGAGAACAGTTAAGGTGCCAAGAAACGTGTCATCAAAATGTTAAGAAATAAAGATCTACCTATACTATCTCACATACCTCAGAGCTACATAACAGGCAGAACTAGCATAGGAGACACCAACAGTTTCACTCGATGAACAAATCTCTCTCCATGTGTCTGACGTCCCTCTAAAAGTGTTGGGACTTAAACCACATCACCAGCTTGTAGATATTAACTCACACGTTATTCTAAACCAGCTGGCATGTTAATGAAGTTTAAATTATATCCTGGTTGAATAAATCACTACAGTCAAAGAACTTGATGCAAGAATAATTGGTTTGTGCAAAATATTTATTTGGCATAAAAATATTCTCTACATTCCATTACACTTTGTGGTTTTTACTCAGGTAATCATAATACAGAGTTTGATCATGTAACCGTCAGAGTCCAGTGTTCCAGACCTACATCAGTAAGCATCACAGTTGCATTAAGGAGCCAACCGCTTTTTAAATCAGAGGTGTTGTAACTGTTTGCTTCTCAGGATAAGACAGTCACAGGTCTCGTTCGGCTTAATGTGTTAGTGTTGTACAGCCGGGCTGCTCAGATAAGCGACGGCGGAGTGTGATCTCTGGCTGAGTCGGAGCACCGACGCACTACTTTCTGCTCGCCATTCACAGGTGAAGAGAGGGATTGTTGAGGTGGACTGCAGCTGCTTCATGACACGCAGCAAATGAGCTCCATCTGCCTGAGCATGTTTATATTCTCCGTATTCAATGAGATTCTGAACACTCAGATCTCTCTTTAAAGCCTAGAGAAAAAAAAAAAGTGGCAGGAGGACATTATAAAGTTCTACTTAAAAGCCCTCAAAATGCTTCCAAGGTATCGGATAATCTTGAATATGCCTTTACAGAGTGCAGCAAGAAGTGTACATTGAAACAAGCGTTTTTATCGGTGACACATCCGATCCAAGGTAATGATTTGATCAAGTAGTTTCTTTCTTTTTTTCTCTTCAGTGGCTGCGAGCGCTCCCCACCAGCAGACAGAGCTTCAGCATTGTTTTTGGAGAGTGTCCTTACTGCAGCAAGGTATGTCTGCACCTCACAGTGTGACTGACAGCTGCCTTCACGGCGCTTCAGAAAGGCCTTCCGTGCACACTCAATAGATATTCAGCATACTTAATTAGCATGGCTCTATACATCACGTAGCCTTCTCTTCTCTGAAAGGCCGCTGAGTGCGCTCGCCACAATATGCTGCATTCAGACACTTTCACTGAAGCTACTCCTCGTCTGACAAAGGAGTAAGTGTGTGACACTGGATGTGTGTGAATACAGCACATCATCGATTTAGAGTCAAAGACAGTTTTATTTGTGCATGTGATTTTGAGTCAAAAATGAGAGCCCACTTGAATATTTTTTTGAAAAAGCGATCCTTCAAACCACATTTAACTTTACAGAACATTTAATAGGCAGAATACACTGAGGCTTCTCCTTCTATTCCAGCCTATTACTGTGAAAATGGCAGCCCAGAAGTCCTGAGAAGATGCTTTGTGTCCCTGGCAGCTCCATCTCCACTTTGGGAAGGCAGCACTGTTCAACGTGGCGGATCCCTCACCTGCTCACAAGTCAGTTTAAATGTACTAAAATGGCAACCACTAGAAGGAAGGCGCCCAAAACGACAAAGCAGGACATCAGTCCTCGTGTCTGTGAGGGACCAGTGTCCTGTCCTGTGCTGTCTCTGTGCTTGTAGCGCTGCTGGCTGTAGCTCTGCTGCTCGTGAAGCAGCCTCTCATCCCATCTCTCTGTGTAATCCATGTGTGCTGGGCTCTTTATGTCACAGTTTGCCCATTCAGGTTTTCTCCTTTGCATGTAGAGCCATTCCCGTCTGCCAGAGGTCACAGTCAGGTCGTCTGTTTTCCTGCCGGTCCACTCGCATTTAGTTTTCTGTTAAAGAGGGTAATTCACGTGTATGCTTTTTTTTTTTTACACAATGTGCACTATATGAGATGAAAGGCTAAAGCGCCGACTGTCTGTATCTGTCTGTAACCTTTTTGAGACCTGGAGTCGCAACAAGACATTTAGGCTGTTATAACACATTCATAAAGCTTAAATGGCAATAAAATACTTGTTTTGGAGCTATTAGTGTAACATTTATTTAAACACAGTCACGCTTAAGGCGGCAAACTATAAGCTGTCAGACATAAGGAGTCTGGCTGTGAGCTTGTTGCCATCACACCTGTTTGGGTTGACCTTCGGGGCTTTTCGGAGGTCCTCTCAGATAGCGTGCAGGAATAGGTCTGGGTCTGACCTCATCCTCTTCATCCTCCTCCTCACTGTCTTCCTCGTTGTAAGAGTGTACGGGTCCAGCCTGAAGCCTCTCTGATCTTCTGACAGCAGGCAGCACCTCCTTCTTCTATCAGCAGACAGAAATAATTGCAGTTTATTACTGATTCATAGCAGTTTGGCTGGTTTATTAATTATATTTATATGATGAAGCTGACATGATGGCTCTCTAATCGATCTAATTTCAGTCTCACCAGTAAGTTTGTTAAGTATATTTCTCTGCCTGTAATGTACCTGAAAGTACAACAACAAATCTAAACCAGAAGGCACAGGAACAGAAAGTCTGGAAGTCCAGCAACGTCTGAAACATCAGTGTCCCTTCATTAAAGGACAAGTTCAGAGCTCTTATTGTTGTTGTCATGTGTTCATGTAACCAGCCCTCCTGTTTGTAGCAGCCACTTACAGATCCCTTCTTTACCTCTCTGAACTGCAAGCAGTTTCTGAGTGTTTAGTATTTTGCTCCTTTTTACTCACTGTAAGCTGTTTTATCACTGCAGTAGAGTCCTGCACCTCTATGAAAACAGCACACTTTCAAACCACACTTTCTTTGTTTAATAACTTGTACAAAGATTGAAAAAAAATTTTTTTTAAATGGTATTGACATTTTTCCAACACTGAAAAACTGAAAAACCAGTGATGGATCTATATGGTATAGTGTAGACATTTTATTAGTTGCATTTTTAAGTCATAATTACCCTGCTTGTCCCACTGTGTGACCTGTTCAGCTCATTTTTATCATGACTGTTGGTTGCAACTGACTCACTAGTGGCTTCTCATTTAAATGTTTTTTTTCCAAATCTGGTGAAAATGTTTAAATGAAACATGTAGAATAACCTGATTTTGACGAAAAAAAAATTTAAAAATCCAGATTGGGTTGGTTTTCCAGATGGAAGGGGATGTCACATAAGATTAGTCCAAGAACCAATTGTTTTTGTTTTTAAAGTTTCTGACCGATAAACGGTGTCATTTTGGTGTTTTAAGGGGCTGAAAGATGGCTCGGTGGTTAGCACCATCTAGAAGGTCGCCGGTTCGCGTCCTGGTGAGGACACCCGGGATCTTTCTGTGTAGAGTTTTTCATGTTCTCCCTGTGCAGCGTGGGTTCTCTCCGGGTTCTCTGGCTTCCTCGAACAGTCCACAAACATGTTGAGGTTAATTGGTGATTCTAAATTGTCTGTATAGGTGTGAATGTGAGTGTGCTTGGTTGTCTGTCTCTAAGTGTAGCCCTGTGATAGACTGGTGACCTGTCCACGGTGTCCCCTGCCTTCGCTCTAAGTTGGCTGTAGGCTCCAGCCCCCCACGACCCTAGTGAGGATTAAGCAATGGATGGATGGATGGACCAAAAAAAAAAAAAAAAGCTAACTTTCAAACTCACCAGTGGGTTTTGGGGTACAGAGAGTTAATGTGCTTATAAAGAAATTCATGAAGGACTAAATCTGCCATCCACTTTTTTAATAGAACTATATTAGCAAGTGTATGAGAATATGAAGCTCCAGACTTTTAGATGAATCAAATCTGGTGGAAATCTTCCAAAGTTGCTGCATTTTAACTCACACTAAAAGTATTTTCTTACTAAAAAGACTGGTAACTTAATCAGTAACTTTAGATGAACTTCCTATAATACATGTCTGCACTGAGCAAAACCTGTAAAGATGGAAAGAGCTGGTACACAACAAGATGCCATGTTGGCGTCCTTTGGCTCTGGCCACATCTAACCTCAGAGTCCATGAGGTCACACAAGCAGCACAACAGTCTAACCAGCATTTCCTGTTAAAAGTCCAGCTGCTGCCTAAAACATCACATGTTGGAATACAGACAAAGTGTTATTGTCGAACATATGGACGTATAAGGTGGTTAGAATAGTTTCTTACCTGCTGTGACTGAGGTTTAGGGAGGGGCGGTCCTCTTTTGTAGCGAGCTGGCACCGGTTTGGGCTTCGTCTCTTCGTGTTCTTCATCGTCCACCTCTGCAGGCGAAGGCTTGGCTTTGGCGGGCCCTCTGGCTCGTCCTGCTTTCTGTTGACAGATTAATTGTCAGCAGTTGCTAAAGCCAGTTTACATTCACTGTGTGGTTTCATGTTTGAACCGCAGTCTAAACTCTGTTGCCTCTAAACATAAGTGCTCCTTTCAGCAGTTGTGTTGTACACGGTGCTGCCGAGTTCCCCCGTCTGTTACACTCAAATCTCTTCTGACAAGGTGAACTTTGATAGAAATGCCTTTTACACCCGTCTTTGACCAGTCTTCCGTAAGTAAAACTTCGCCTCTCTCCAAAACTATAATCATACATAAAATAATAAATTTATACAACGCCAGCAGCAAATGATTGGGTGAACATGCCCATTCAGTGTCCTTTATCTCGGCTGACATTTACTCTCCGCACTAAACCGCCAGTAAATGGCCACTTCTGTTTAACTAGGGATCAAACTGGCCAGCACTTTAGCATGGAAATTAAATGACACAAGGAGAGGAGAGGAAATCAGGAGCATAATTGGAGACACCCTGTGCTGTGTAAAGTGTGTGTCATCAACTCCTTCAAATTGGACCATTGAGAGGGCGCTCGCTGGGCCCCTCAGGGTCAAGAAGTGATTCTGGTGAATTGGAGGAGAATCATGGTCCTCCTCCAGCTTTAGACCTGGACACCTCTGGTTGACATGCTCACTGTTAGGGGGAGTTGGGGGGTTGTCGCTGGCAGGTTAACCCTCCCCTTCGCTGCTGTCACGTTTCTGCACTCTGGGGTTAAGAGACTCAGCAGATGGGACATGAATCTTTGTGGCCAAAGCTGAAGTTGCTCCGTGTTGACAGAATGCTAAAATATTCCATACCAAGTGAAACCTCAAAGACTGTATTTACCTTGTTGCTGTGAATAAACCTCTGTAATCCACCGGTTCAAACTGCACACAAGTGTTTAAGTACACAGAGCTGCCCAAAACACTGGAGTTTTACTGTTTTCTGTTGTCTGAGTGATCAGGGAAAAGAGCTGTACTGCCCTGGACAGAAAACGTGTACTGGCCTGAGTGGAAGTGAGGGTTGTGTTATGTTTGCTGCATGTTGAGATATTCTTGTTGAATGAAAACATTACATGTATATTTACAGTACAATGAGTGTTTCAGTGACTTAAACCTGCAGCAGTTTCTAAAGGCTCCTCTAAAGTCTTTTGTTGCCACATAGGAAATAAATTCAAGGATTTAAAGCGAGTTAATTGATAACTTGATTCAGTGGATTCAACCTGACAGTAACTCAGTCCACTGCCTATAAACATGTTACCACGGTGACATGTCCCAGAACACCGGGGACAACAACCATGTATGACACTGAATTAACTTTAAGACCGTCTCCTAAACCAGTGGTTCTCAAACTGGGGGTNTCAGCACTGGCCTTTTAGTTACAACTGGATATGAACTGTTTGGGAGAATTTGATATGAAGGTTTCAAACTGTACTGTTGTATAGTAAGCAAACTCCTGAGGTTGTAGATTCTTTTGAAGTCAAAAGAAAGTTTCAGTAGTTTTTCTTTATTATATTTTTTTTATGAGAAAGCAGCTCATTACACCAAGAGCCTGTATTTTTCAAACTTCACTTGTCATAATGTAGGTGGACACACCATTAGACACCACACATATTAATTTTTAATGTTACAAATTGTTACTAAACTATTACTACGTGCAGCGTATCTCTATTAAAGGGAAATCCCTCTGCTTTCACATGTCAAGCACTGTTAAGGCCAGTCACATGGTCCATCAGGAGGTACAGAGATCAACAACCTCACAAAGTACACTGTGAAAGGTTTTATTCCAGATATCAATAATTCTGCTGCTACTGAGGAATCATAAAAAAAAATCACACCTGAACCTTTGACTGAACCGTCGGCACTCAGATTAGTTTGTATCTGCTGTCCATCGCACATCTGTATACAGATAGGCAACATGGCCGCTCCCCAGAAGTGAAGTAAAATTATCTTGGAATGACTGCTTCTGTCTAACACTGGTGACATCATTTGCACAACCACCCTATTGTTGTGTTATTTTTACTTTTATGTGCATTTTCAAGTATTACATCAATAAATAGTTCATTGAAACAGCAAAATCTGAAAAAGCATCACCGATTTTGCTAAATGTTTTTTTTCAACTTACAAAAAAAAACCATTCATGAGGTAATGATGGAAACGCCTTTTGTCAAATAAGTCCCCATGTAGCAAACTTACATGACAGATCAAATGCCTCTGTGGTTGTCTTTGTTTCTCGACAGCATGAAACATGCCTAACGCCAGCTGACATTAAAAAGAAGAATTACATTTTATAATTACATTACATAATTGCATTTACATTCTTCTTCTTCTTCAGTCACTCCTGCACACACTCTGGTTGCAGATGACTTGTAGCTGCAAGATGGAAGCTCCCCTTTCTGTACAGTGGAAGGAAGTGGTGAATCTTTAGCAGCGGTCTTTATATACCGTTCAGTATGAGGTTAGGGTTCCGAGCGGCTGACCTGGACCTACACCCACTTCAGCTCTGACAGACTGAGTGCGTTGCTTAGATGGAGGCAGTGGGACAAATGGGCTTATGGGTGTTTTTAGACCACCAGGGAAGATCTGCAGGCACAGGTGGGGGGCAACAAAGCTATTAGCAGCAGTCACGGGGCGCAAAGGGTTAAGGGGCTCCACTGATTGGCTGTTATGATCCAGGTGGAGTCTGTTCATGCACCTCAGCATTTTCATGATGTGTTTTCATGGCAGTAGGTGAAATCATCAAACATTCTGCAAAACTTTTTTCTTACTTCTGTACATAGCTCTCATTTTATGAGCCGGGCCTTTAGTTTAGAGAACAGTTACGGTGCCAAGAAACGTGTCGTCAAAATGTTAAGAAATAAAGGTCTCCCTATACTATCTCACATACCTCAAAGCTACATAACATGCAGAACTAGCATAGGAGACACCAACGGTTTCACTAGATGAACAAATCTCTCTCCATGTGTTCGCTGTCAGACGTCCCTCTAAAAGTGTACATCACCAGCTTGTAGATATTAACTCACACGTTATTCTAAACCAGCTGGCATGTTAATGAAGTTTAAATTATATCCTGGTTGAATAAATCACTACAGTCAAAGAACTTGATGCAAGAATAATTGGTTTGTGCAAAATATTTATTTGGCATAAAAATATTCTCTACATTCCATTACACTTTGTGGTTTTTACTCAGGTAATCATAATACAGAGTTTGATCATGTAACCGTCAGAGTCCAGTGTTCCAGACCTACATCAGTAAGCATCACAGTTGCATTAAGGAGCCAACCGCTTTTTAAATCAGAGGTGTTGTAACTGTTTGCTTCTCAGGATAAGACAGTCACAGGTCTCGTTCGGCTTAATGTGTTAGTGTTGTACAGCCGGGCTGCTCAGATAAGCGACGGCGGAGTGTGATCTCTGGCTGAGTCGGAGCACCGACGCACTACTTTCTGCTCGCCATTCACAGGTGAAGAGAGGGATTGTTGAGGTGGACTGCAGCTGCTTCATGACACGCAGCAAATGAGCTCCATCTGCCTGAGCATGTTTATATTCTCCGTATTCAATGAGATTCTGAACACTCAGATCTCTCTTTAAAGCCTAGAGAAAAAAAAAAAGTGGCAGGAGGACATTATAAAGTTCTACTTAAAAGCCCTCAAAATGCTTCCAAGGTATCGGATAATCTTGAATATGCCTTTACAGAGTGCAGCAAGAAGTGTACATTGAAACAAGCGTTTTTATCGGTGACACATCCGATCCAAGGTAATGATTTGATCAAGTAGTTTCTTTCTTTTTTTCTCTTCAGTGGCTGCGAGCGCTCCCCACCAGCAGACAGAGCTTCAGCATTGTTTTTGGAGAGTGTCCTTACTGCAGCAAGGTATGTCTGCACCTCACAGTGTGACTGACAGCTGCCTTCACGGCGCTTCAGAAAGGCCTTCCGTGCACACTCAATAGATATTCAGCATACTTAATTAGCATGGCTCTATACATCACGTAGCCTTCTCTTCTCTGAAAGGCCGCTGAGTGCGCTCGCCACAATATGCTGCATTCAGACACTTTCACTGAAGCTACTCCTCGTCTGACAAAGGAGTAAGTGTGTGACACTGGATGTGTGTGAATACAGCACATCATCGATTTAGAGTCAAAGACAGTTTTATTTGTGCATGTGATTTTGAGTCAAAAATGAGAGCCCACTTGAATATTTTTTTGAAAAAGCGATCCTTCAAACCACATTTAACTTTACAGAACATTTAATAGGCAGAATACACTGAGGCTTCTCCTTCTATTCCAGCCTATTACTGTGAAAATGGCAGCCCAGAAGTCCTGAGAAGATGCTTTGTGTCCCTGGCAGCTCCATCTCCACTTTGGGAAGGCAGCACTGTTCAACGTGGCGGATCCCTCACCTGCTCACAAGTCAGTTTAAATGTACTAAAATGGCAACCACTAGAAGGAAGGCGCCCAAAACGACAAAGCAGGACATCAGTCCTCGTGTCTGTGAGGGACCAGTGTCCTGTCCTGTGCTGTCTCTGTGCTTGTAGCGCTGCTGGCTGTAGCTCTGCTGCTCGTGAAGCAGCCTCTCATCCCATCTCTCTGTGTAATCCATGTGTGCTGGGCTCTTTATGTCACAGTTTGCCCATTCAGGTTTTCTCCTTTGCATGTAGAGCCATTCCCGTCTGCCAGAGGTCACAGTCAGGTCGTCTGTTTTCCTGCCGGTCCACTCGCATTTAGTTTTCTGTTAAAGAGGGTAATTCACGTGTATGCTTTTTTTTTTTTACACAATGTGCACTATATGAGATGAAAGGCTAAAGCGCCGACTGTCTGTATCTGTCTGTAACCTTTTTGAGACCTGGAGTCGCAACAAGACATTTAGGCTGTTATAACACATTCATAAAGCTTAAATGGCAATAAAATACTTGTTTTGGAGCTATTAGTGTAACATTTATTTAAACACAGTCACGCTTAAGGCGGCAAACTATAAGCTGTCAGACATAAGGAGTCTGGCTGTGAGCTTGTTGCCATCACACCTGTTTGGGTTGACCTTCGGGGCTTTTCGGAGGTCCTCTCAGATAGCGTGCAGGAATAGGTCTGGGTCTGACCTCATCCTCTTCATCCTCCTCCTCACTGTCTTCCTCGTTGTAAGAGTGTACGGGTCCAGCCTGAAGCCTCTCTGATCTTCTGACAGCAGGCAGCACCTCCTTCTTCTATCAGCAGACAGAAATAATTGCAGTTTATTACTGATTCATAGCAGTTTGGCTGGTTTATTAATTATATTTATATGATGAAGCTGACATGATGGCTCTCTAATCGATCTAATTTCAGTCTCACCAGTAAGTTTGTTAAGTATATTTCTCTGCCTGTAATGTACCTGAAAGTACAACAACAAATCTAAACCAGAAGGCACAGGAACAGAAAGTCTGGAAGTCCAGCAACGTCTGAAACATCAGTGTCCCTTCATTAAAGGACAAGTTCAGAGCTCTTATTGTTGTTGTCATGTGTTCATGTAACCAGCCCTCCTGTTTGTAGCAGCCACTTACAGATCCCTTCTTTACCTCTCTGAACTGCAAGCAGTTTCTGAGTGTTTAGTATTTTGCTCCTTTTTACTCACTGTAAGCTGTTTTATCACTGCAGTAGAGTCCTGCACCTCTATGAAAACAGCACACTTTCAAACCACACTTTCTTTGTTTAATAACTTGTACAAAGATTGAAAAAAAATTTTTTTTAAATGGTATTGACATTTTTCCAACACTGAAAAACTGAAAAACCAGTGATGGATCTATATGGTATAGTGTAGACATTTTATTAGTTGCATTTTTAAGTCATAATTACCCTGCTTGTCCCACTGTGTGACCTGTTCAGCTCATTTTTATCATGACTGTTGGTTGCAACTGACTCACTAGTGGCTTCTCATTTAAATGTTTTTTTTCCAAATCTGGTGAAAATGTTTAAATGAAACATGTAGAATAACCTGATTTTGACGAAAAAAAAATTTAAAAATCCAGATTGGGTTGGTTTTCCAGATGGAAGGGGATGTCACATAAGATTAGTCCAAGAACCAATTGTTTTTGTTTTTAAAGTTTCTGACCGATAAACGGTGTCATTTTGGTGTTTTAAGGGGCTGAAAGATGGCTCGGTGGTTAGCACCATCTAGAAGGTCGCCGGTTCGCGTCCTGGTGAGGACACCCGGGATCTTTCTGTGTAGAGTTTTTCATGTTCTCCCTGTGCAGCGTGGGTTCTCTCCGGGTTCTCTGGCTTCCTCGAACAGTCCACAAACATGTTGAGGTTAATTGGTGATTCTAAATTGTCTGTATAGGTGTGAATGTGAGTGTGCTTGGTTGTCTGTCTCTAAGTGTAGCCCTGTGATAGACTGGTGACCTGTCCACGGTGTCCCCTGCCTTCGCTCTAAGTTGGCTGTAGGCTCCAGCCCCCCACGACCCTAGTGAGGATTAAGCAATGGATGGATGGATGGACCAAAAAAAAAAAAAAAAGCTAACTTTCAAACTCACCAGTGGGTTTTGGGGTACAGAGAGTTAATGTGCTTATAAAGAAATTCATGAAGGACTAAATCTGCCATCCACTTTTTTAATAGAACTATATTAGCAAGTGTATGAGAATATGAAGCTCCAGACTTTTAGATGAATCAAATCTGGTGGAAATCTTCCAAAGTTGCTGCATTTTAACTCACACTAAAAGTATTTTCTTACTAAAAAGACTGGTAACTTAATCAGTAACTTTAGATGAACTTCCTATAATACATGTCTGCACTGAGCAAAACCTGTAAAGATGGAAAGAGCTGGTACACAACAAGATGCCATGTTGGCGTCCTTTGGCTCTGGCCACATCTAACCTCAGAGTCCATGAGGTCACACAAGCAGCACAACAGTCTAACCAGCATTTCCTGTTAAAAGTCCAGCTGCTGCCTAAAACATCACATGTTGGAATACAGACAAAGTGTTATTGTCGAACATATGGACGTATAAGGTGGTTAGAATAGTTTCTTACCTGCTGTGACTGAGGTTTAGGGAGGGGCGGTCCTCTTTTGTAGCGAGCTGGCACCGGTTTGGGCTTCGTCTCTTCGTGTTCTTCATCGTCCACCTCTGCAGGCGAAGGCTTGGCTTTGGCGGGCCCTCTGGCTCGTCCTGCTTTCTGTTGACAGATTAATTGTCAGCAGTTGCTAAAGCCAGTTTACATTCACTGTGTGGTTTCATGTTTGAACCGCAGTCTAAACTCTGTTGCCTCTAAACATAAGTGCTCCTTTCAGCAGTTGTGTTGTACACGGTGCTGCCGAGTTCCCCCGTCTGTTACACTCAAATCTCTTCTGACAAGGTGAACTTTGATAGAAATGCCTTTTACACCCGTCTTTGACCAGTCTTCCGTAAGTAAAACTTCGCCTCTCTCCAAAACTATAATCATACATAAAATAATAAATTTATACAACGCCAGCAGCAAATGATTGGGTGAACATGCCCATTCAGTGTCCTTTATCTCGGCTGACATTTACTCTCCGCACTAAACCGCCAGTAAATGGCCACTTCTGTTTAACTAGGGATCAAACTGGCCAGCACTTTAGCATGGAAATTAAATGACACAAGGAGAGGAGAGGAAATCAGGAGCATAATTGGAGACACCCTGTGCTGTGTAAAGTGTGTGTCATCAACTCCTTCAAATTGGACCATTGAGAGGGCGCTCGCTGGGCCCCTCAGGGTCAAGAAGTGATTCTGGTGAATTGGAGGAGAATCATGGTCCTCCTCCAGCGTTAGACCTGGACACCTCTGGTTGACATGCTCACTGTTAGGGGGAGTTGGGGGGTTGTCGCTGGCAGGTTAACCCTCCCCTTCGCTGCTGTCACGTTTCTGCACTCTGGGGTTAAGAGACTCAGCAGATGGGACATGAATCTTTGTGGCCAAAGCTGAAGTTGCTCCGTGTTGACAGAATGCTAAAATATTCCATACCAAGTGAAACCTCAAAGACTGTATCTACCTTGTTGCTGTGAATAAACCTCTGTAATCCACCGGTTCAAACTGCACACAAGTGTTTAAGTACACAGAGCTGCCCAAAACACTGGAGTTTTACTGTTTTCTATTGTCTGAGTGATCAGGGAAAAGAGCTGTACTGCCCTGGACAGAAAACGTGTACTGGCCTGAGTGGAAGTGAGGGTTGTGTTATGTTTGCTGCATGTTGAGATATTCTTGTTGAATGAAAACATTACATGTATATTTACAGTACAATGAGTGTTTCAGTGACTTAAACCTGCAGCAGTTTCTAAAGGCTCCTCTAAAGTCTTTTGTTGCCACATAGGAAATAAATTCAAGGATTTAAAGCGAGTTAATTGATAACTTGATTCAGTGGATTCAACCTGACAGTAACTCAGTCCACTGCCTATAAACATGTTACCACGGTGACATGTCCCAGAACACCGGGGACAACAACCATGTATGACACTGAATTAACTTTAAGACCGTCTCCTAAACCAGTGGTTCTCAAACTGGGGGTTGCGACCCCCACGGGGGTCCCAAGATAATTTCAGGGGGTCGCCAGATCATCCATCATCTCTACACCTTAATCCTCACTAGGGGGGCGGAGTCTATCCCAGCTGACTCAGGGTGAAGGCAGGTTCACCTGGACAGGTCACCAGTCTGTCACAGGGCTACACTTAGAGACAGACAACCAAGCACACTCACATTCACACCTACAGACAATTTAGAATCATCAATTAACCTCAGCATGTTTCTGGACTGTGGGAGGAAGCTTGAGAACCTGGAGAGAACCCACGCTGCACGGGGAGAACATAGAGACTCCACGCAGAAAGATCCCGGGTGTCCTCACCGGGACGCCAACTGGCGACCTTCTAGCTGGGAGGCGCTAACGGTGCTAACCACCGAGACACCTGCAGCCTTTCATTTGTTCAAAATAAATTCAATTCATTCATTCAAAGAAAATGAATGTAAAGAGATGAATCTGTGGAATTAAGACGCTAATTTTAACGCATTTATGATGAACAACAGAGTTGTTACTGATGAGGTATTAATGATTCTAACTGGGGGTCACGAACACAGACTCATGCTATCTTGGGGGTCGTGGCTCCAACAGTTTGAGAACCTCTGTCCTAAACAATGAACTAGTAACGCTACAGGGGGTCATTCCTCCCGACAGCAGTAAGACTTTCTAATGCTTCAATCTCAGCACATTTCTGTTATCTCCTATATATTCTTGTAAATGTGATGACTTTTTTCATATTATATTTTCTATATTTTTATTTTATTTAACCTTCATTTTATACCGTACCGTAATATTCTGTGTCGTCTTTTTGCTTTGAATATTACTGCTGTAACAACAGAACTTCCATCTGGGATTAATAAAGTCAGTAGCAGATTGATGTATCAGCAGTTTATAGGGCAGCAACTAACGGGTATTCAATCGCTAAATCTATTGACTATTTTACAGTTTAATTGATTAAACTGCGAATTTTCCTCCCCAAAAAAAATTTTTTTAAAAAAGCAAACAGACCATTTCAGTTCAGTTCATTTTATGTTGACAAACTGCATGTGATTGTATACTGCAGCCCTCGTGGTTTAGCTTTTAAAATCATGCTGAAGTACATCATCAACTGTCTGCTCAAGTGAAATGCACCTCATTTTATCGTGCTCTGGGTTTGCTCACACTCTTATATTTATATGCATAGCACTACGAAAAAAGCCTGTCTGTGCTGGCAACTGTTTAACAAGTGATGTCACATCGTCACTGACTCACACCTTGTCATGTTCTCACCTTTTCCCTGGTGGGAGGATTCTTGGTGTTTGACTCCCCTGCAGGTCCTTGAGGCCCGGAGAAGTCTAGTCTTCCCTTGACATCACTGGCCAGCAGGTCTTTGAGATGCTGGTAGTTGGGCTTATCTTGGTATCCCAGAGTTCTCACATAAAGGAGGAATTCAGTCACCTCGTCTGAAGACAGGAGCAGGAAAAAAATCAAATATTTGTAGAAACTACCGGATCAAGCCAGAGCCATGAAATCATTTACACAAATCTGTCATCTGCTATCAGACCTTGGTTGGATTTTACTAACTGACAGACGTTGTTGTCAGTAATACGACCTCCTCTGAGTGAAATCATTTCTGGGGAACTTGAGTCATGTAGCAGAAAAGGCGGGATGAACCTGAAGGTCTCACAGTCCAGATAATACGCCGGCTGGTCATGTATCTCCCCACACACAGTAGATTAGGCATGCGTACAGCTATGGATATGTGTTTCTGTGTGTGTGTGTGTGTGGAAGTGTCATACACAGTCGGCCTCAATGCATCACACACTGGCCAGACGACGTGTATGACACATACTGCAGTGGAACTTGTATCTCACACGCACAAACACACACACACTCAGTTGATGCATACCCTGGCTCTTATCTGTGGCGGGCAGCCGGGCTTTGTCAGCACAGGAGCACCCGGTCCCAACCATACATCACACACTAAGCCATCACACAGGTGTGACCTCTCCTTATAAAGAGGAAAGATAAAACACGACAAACTTTGAAAGGCATGTCAATGGGACAGCTGTTTAATTGGTAAAAAGTTATTCTGGAGCTTCGGGTAACTGAAGAGGAGACGGGGGGTGTTATTCTGGGAGCTCGAACGAGTCCATGTAGTCTGGAGCTTGGTTTAGCCTCGTCTCTATAGAGCCCTGTAATCCGTTTTAAAGATTCGGTTCACATCGGGAATGTTTCAGCCGTGTTCAAACCAAACCAAGATTAGCCCCTTCATTCATTTAAGTAAGGAATCCCGCTGGGAAACATTCAAACGTGTCACATTTCATCAGTTCACCAGCACACCCTTAACCAGTGCAGTCCTGAACGTTCTTTGAACTGAACCAGGGTTATGTAGAGGAAGTGAAAAGTGAGCCAAGAATTCAGTCCAGTGTTGTTCCCCGAGTAAAAAAAACTGCAGGATCAGTATGTGTGCAGTGTAGGTATGTCACAATACCAGAAAACTGGTAGTTGGTACCAACACTATTGGAATGTCATGGTTCTTCAGACTAAATATGAAGCCAAAGAAAAATCAACCAATCAAATGAAAGTGCAGAAATGCTCTTACTTTGAACCATAAATGTAGATACCCCTCTGACCCTCTAAACTCCAGCAACTTCTGGGTTGTTTTTTCTCACTTTTCCAACATGTTTTATTTGGTTCCATACGTGCCTTCTCTCTGCTCTGTGTAAAGCAGCTTGTAGTTCACCAAATACTTACTGAATATTTATCATGCAGCTGTTGGTTGCAGCTGATCAGTCAAGACAATGTTTTGCTGAGATATCTAAAATGTAATTTAATGAAATATCAGGATTTTAAGCTTAGATTTAGTAATGTTTACTGACTGAACAGCAATCACACATCATTAGCTCAAGGACCATTACCAAATCTGACAATCCTTTCCGTTTTTTAATAGTTTCTGACAAATGGTATACCTTGGACAATTATTTTAAAGACACCATGTCTTTCAAACCCATTGGGAGACTTTAGGGTTCTAAAGGTTACACAGCGTAGATAAGTCTGGGCCGTTTGCTCCATTTGCATTCTGGCTTGTGGTCATTTAAGACTTCTTCCTGATCACCTCGCATAAACCCTAAATATCTCCACAGATGATGACTCTTGGCTTGGTTTTTTTTCTGCCAGTCACAGTGGGCGTGTTGCTTTTCACTATCTCCAGCAGCTACAGTACTTCCATGACCATATAAACCATTTGAGGAATTTTGGCATCAATAGAGCTCAGGAACTAAGGTTAAGTTCTCGTGACATCCCTAATATGTGTCATCCAACAACAACAATGTCTTCTTCAAGCACCAATACCACTACCAAACGTCTCTACATACAAGGATACTGGTTTACAGAAGCTACTACTCGTGTGCCCTGTGCACTGAAACTAGTCCCGGCTATGGCCTTTATTGTGGATCTCCATTATAAAGAGCAGAAGATAAGACACAGTGATTCCTCTCCTCTCCAAGGTTTTGTCGTCTTACTTCCAAATTCTGCGTTTAACCTGAGAAGCGTGAATGATATCCTGTAACCTGAAGACGCCCCGCGGCCTTGGCTTACCTGTGCTGGCTCCGCTCACTGACAGCTGCTGGACTGAGTCTGGCAGATTATCTATCAGTCTGAGAGAAGAGTAAAGGAAGATAAAACAGTATGGAGGGGGGGGACATAAAGAGATGTAAGAGATGGAGTTCAGGGGCAGATGGGAGCATGAGGAGAACACAGAAGGAGAATAAGTTGAATCCAGGCCAAAGCGAGCTGTCCCACAGAACTTTAAGACTTCTCTTCAGTTAAAAACACTCAGGTATTCATTTACTGTATTTATTAATATTAACTGTTGATTGAACATCTTGTAGATGTGCACACAGACAGCTGCAGATACCACACACACCTACACACACACTCTGCCAAGCATGTGCAATTTTGAGCTGCATCTTAGGACGAAACTTTAACTTAACAAACCCTTGTACACTCGCAGAAGCAGAAAGTAGAACCCTTTGCTTAGAGTATGTATTCAGCAATATGACATTTCAATTGTTGCAATCTAACAAACTAAACAACTAGTGTTAGATTGTATAAATCTGGATATTGTGTCCATCCTGTCTATTTACTTTTTTCCCTCTCAGCAGACAGTTTGCAGCATTTTAGTCTTTTCTAAAATGTATGTATGTAACATCTAAGAGACAGTATTTATCTTAAAAAAAATTAAAAGGGGAATACAAAGCCAAGTTTAAAGAATTTCTAAAGGTAACAAATAATGACAACAAGGTAGTGTATCTTATACTATTTTTTACCTACAGAGCAACAGCTCCTAACCAAGCCCAGTGGCCTGTGCATCAAACCTGGCTGTCCATTAAAACTGTTTGGCCCAGCGGCTTTCAGTAAAGTTTCACATTTGCAAAAACTTGTCTTACAAATCTACTTTAGATAGATATCGGTAAAATACTCTACAAATCCACAAAACTTTTTAACTTCAAATGCTGTGGAAGAAAACTGCATAATAATGGAACTCTTAAGGTCGGTTCATGGTGTTTGCATGGCTGAAGCAGCAGACGTACTCATGGTTCTATTCATAGGACAATAGGAGGAAGTCTGTCGTGTGCGGTGGTTTAGGTGGTCTCATTGCCCCTCATGTCACCCAGACGAGCACACGGGGCTCCTGTGGCTGTTTCTGAAGGCTGTGACTTTGCACGTTTTACAGGATGTCATAGTTGGCTACAGATTGGGTGGTCCCACCATGTCAGTGATTATTCCTGATGTTGAGCACAGTAGGTGGACATAACGCAGGATCTCTGGCAGCGACTACACCGATTGTAACTCTTTTATTGTTAAATTATGAATGTGCTGATGATGGAGAATCTCCGCATACAGTTTCTCCTCACAACAAGCTTTTGTTTTAAGCATCATTTGCTTCTGGTGTGGACAGTCCATTTTGGGCTGACCCTCACAAGCTTTAATGTATAACAAACGTTCCATCATGTATACCCTTGCAGACACGGAAAGCAGGAATTGGCCTCAACAGTTACTGAAAATAGCTAAACTACCCAACTGTTACTTCACTCAGAGAGGCTGCTGCATCCTTAAACCAAACAGTATCCACAAACTCTATTATGTATACAATTTATAGTGTACGTTGTGGCAGAAAATACAAAGCTAGAACATACCCCTCCCCTCCCCCTAAGGGCCCCCGGCTAGTGCAAGTGACTGCCTACCTGGCCTTGGCCTCCTGGACCTGAGTTGGATTCTTGAGAACGCTGATCCAGGGAAGTGACCCAGTTAACCAGTGAAGAAGACAGAAACCCAAAATCTGGAGGTCACTCCGCCTAGATGGAGCTACATACAAACAGAAAGGTGAGGTGGTTAGAAATAACAAAAACATAATATGATAAAATGTTACTTGCTGCTTCTTTTATTCCTAAATCAATCAACTCCATCTCAAGTTTCCCTTCATGTAAATTTTTACATTTGTGGGTCAAACTGCAGCATTTTGTTCCTGCATTGGAGGAAAAATGTGTCATGTCGATAAAATAATTTCACAAAGACTAGATGACAATAGGTTAGCACCGTAACCTCACAGCTAGACGATTCCCAGTTCACGTCCGGGTTAGGACACCTGGGATCTTTCTGTGTGGAGTTTGCATGTTCTCCCCGTGCAATTTGGGTTCTCTCTGGGTTCTCTGGCTTCCTCCCACACAGTCCAAAAACACACTGAGGTTAATTGATGATTCTAAATTCACTGTAGGTGTGAATGTTGATGTGCTCGTTTGTCTCTAAGTGTAGCCCTGTGATAGACTGGCGACCTGTCCAGGGTGTCCCCCTCGTGACCCTACAGAGGATTAAGCGGTGTATAGATAATAGATGGATGGATGACAATAAAAAAGCTGCAGCACAACACTGAGTAGTAGCTTGATTCCCAGGCAGCTATATAGTTTTTTCAAACAACAGATGTTTCCCAACAGTCAAAGTTGGACACAACCACCATTTGAATCCCTAAATTAAATCAAAAAAAGTGATTCACGAAGAAGAATCAATTAAGAACCCAGCAGAACAGATACTCATTCAGCTTTTGCATTGTGTCACCTGTAGTGGGGTATTACTGTTTCAGCAAGAGGGACATTTATGAAGATGAAAACTAGTTGTAAAAGTAGATCTCTGTTTTTATTTACAGTCTATTTACAGATTCAGCTGAGATACAATGACAGTCAGATTACCGACTGTCCAATGGGAGTATGAGGAGGATGATAACAGAGGAAGGTGCACTACATCTGCTATAGGATCCAGCATGACAGAAAGCAGTCCAGCAGTTTTTTTTTTTTTAAATGAAATCAGATACCTGTGATGTTTGACATGATCCAGACACACAAAATATATCCTCCTCTCCTCTCGTAGACACCGACTGGTTGTAAAACATGAGAATGTCTGAGGCCAAATCACTACCACATGTTACAGAAGTCAACAATGGTGTACTGCTGACCCCGTCCATACTTTTTATATGTACGTATGAGCGTTAAAGTTTTTCATATTTACCATGTTTAGCCTGTGACAGAAAGCTAACATTTGTTGTCATTAGATTTGTAGGTGAATTTTTAAGCTGATGATTTGGCAACAAGAAAGGTCAAGGGATCATCAAACTAATTGCAATTCATCTTCCAGGGAGCAGGAAGGTTCATGGCAACCCATTCCAAAATGGAGACGTGACTGTGATACAATAATGTCCCCTTGTTCCCCTTGTCAGTAAAGTCTCTCCCATTTATCCTCTGAGTAACATGACTAACAAATTCTGAACTGTTTTGCAAACATTACATAGAAAAGCCAAAGGGAATCGGATTTTGTGAAATCTCTTCCGAGGTGTCGGGGTTACTTCTGTATATGTGGAAAAAGTAGAATGAAGATTTTTGGTGTCTTCAACTGGACCTGAGGTCAGATAAATGTCTTCAAGTGATGTCACTTGAGTCAGTGTCTTTTAAATCTACAACAATCTTAGCACGCCTGTGTGATCTGCTTGAGGCTTTAATCACAATTGACGTGATCGTGGATGTATTTGGGAGAGTTCAATACCGCTTAGCCAACAGAATTTACATTGTGATGAAGTCATGAAAATCATTTTTTGTAGGCTCTGGGAAGACTTTACAAATATGAAATCTCCATAGAGTAAAAAATCATAACAGAAAGTGTAAAAATGGACATTGTTTGCAGTTAAAGTTGGTGTTCTGGCAACAGCTTTACAGACATCTCTTTTATAATTGGGGTTTACGGGAAATATAGTTTTTGTTGCAATCCTGCAGGTGACCACTGAAACAACAGTCAGTCAGTCAGTACTACCTCTGGTACATAACATCCAGTTTCGAAAAGCGTGACAATTGTAGTTCGCAAATCAATGGGTGCCATCACGGTGGCTATCTATCTTCTATATACACGGTGGGGATAACACATCCAGCCTCCGAAGACACAATGGACACGACACACCCAAGCTTTCAACCGACCAGCTGGGAGACCAACTGACATGGAGGGAGCAGGACTGGCTTAAAAATACAGAATACATCAATGGTGTTCACTAATTTTGATCCTTTTTTTTTCTTTAGACACTTTTTGTATTGAAAGAGTTACTTTAAAATCTCTTTCAAAACTTAAGGGGATTTGGGTTTTGTTTTTTTTTGCACTACATACACAGACTGGAGAGCACTATTCACAAAGATAACTTGTGGAAGCGTCTAACAAAACTTTGAAGAACTACGGTGCTCAAAATATGCTTTACATGTTGGTCGTCCTGTAATCAGCTGTGTGTCTACAGTCTACACACACAATAACCAGTTCATAACCAACACGGCAGGAATCTAAACCAACAGAATTAGAACATTTGTTCTGTGAAGACTTTAACAAATGTACGTGTGATTTCCGTGTACTACGACTTCTTTAAGTACAAGTCAAGAGTGTGTTTGCGTCCTTTTGTGATTGTGTGTGTGTGACTGCATGGGTCTACATTAATGTGTGAGGTCTATCAATACTTAGCAACCACGTCCATCCAGAGGGGTTGAGCCCGGGGAGTTTTAGCAGCTCAATACTGTAACGGCCGCCACACGTCTCGGGAGAAATTACCTATCGACTGGCTCCATCAGAGGGGAGAAATCTCCTCCCTGAGCCACAGCAGGCATTGATCCTCCCCAGCCAACAGTCTGGTCTAAAGAGAAAGCGTGGTCACTGGCACACAGGACCAGATTACGTGGAATGGAAGGCCAGTAATCTGATTACATGTTGACAAATTCATGAAATGTAAGTATTTAAACTGATCCCCTAGGTTCCTTCTTCAATGTGGCCACTGAACGTCAAGACTTGGGAAAGCAGTGAGGACAGTCCGAACAACTGAGGAGTGCTGTGAGGACATGGCTTAGTAATAAACTCAGGGGTTAGCTCAGTACAGCACACTGCTTGGACCCAGCAGGGAAGCTAAATAATCAATGAGGACAATCGGAATGGGAGAGGAGGCTGAGGACAGCATGCATAGGATAGGGGTTGAGAACTGTGCTGTTAGGTAACGTGTTAGCATCAGAAGTCCTCCACCTGCAGAATCCTACACTGTAAATGTTGTATGACTTTTTATTGCTTCTGCAACGAGTTTCTACCATTTTCCCTTTGTTTATTTTGTGTTTTTCTTCATTATAAATGAGGGTCTGAGGCCAAAATCTCCCTACATGATTCCTAATTGTATCTAGACTCGAGCATCATAGTGGAAAACTCAACCTTTTCTTGACTACTATGACAACTTCTACATTGTGTTCCGTGATGCTGACCTCTTGGAACACAGAGTGACCTTCAATGTGCTAACATAGCAAAGCAAAGGAGAAGTTTTATTTAATTCTAGTAAACTCATAACCGTAAGGCTAGCTTCCTCAAATGACGAACATTAAGAACAATAAACCCCAATGCTTTACTGCCAAGTGACAAAGAATGGTTCTGGGTTTACTCTTACAGACAGAAACATTTATTGTTGGTGCTCTCACATAAACACTGAAGTCAGTTCGTGCCACCTTAGCGATCATGTCAGCACATAATGCAAAGGAGACAAACAATGATTAGAGTCCAGCAGGTTGTGTATTTGACTGGTCAGGGTTCAGCAAATCGTCTGTCATGTCTTTAGGCCGATGTATAAATCCCCAGTCATATGTAGCACAACTTTGAGCCAAATGTGAAATAAAAATGTGAATCATTCTGCACTTTCATCCACTATTGTTGTGTGAATATGAGGTTGGGGGACACTGATGTGTTAATTCTTCAGTCAGGTGTCAGTAAACCTTGGCAGAAGAAGGCACAATGACCCAAATAAAAGAATGCCAGTCAAACCTCAAACTTCTCCACCTCCACAAAATGTGAAAACTTTCTTGGAATATTGAAACTTCTATGCAAGTTTCTGATGTTTCTACTGATGAATGCACTTTGCCTGCCTAATCTAATAACTGATCATATCAAAAGACAAATAAAATGCACACTGACATCATGATAGATAAATGTGACTTCACTGAAAGATCCTTGTTCAGATTGAGCAAAGCTCAGGAATTTCACCAGTAAATCTAGTCGGGACTGATGTCTTCCATGGCTACTTTTCAAACCAAACGAGTAGGCACAAATCTGCAGTGAAAACAGCATGAACTGTCAGCTATACATTAGCCCCAAATGTGAAACTGTCATTGTTCCACTTCATCTCAACAACTCTGATAATAAGAGTTAGATCTGTTTGCCCTTGCGGGTGTAAAGTAAGCATTAAGTCAGTGTTACTGTGAGCCTTCCTATTGTTGTAAATAATTACACAGTGCTTCATTGCTACTGAGAGCCTGTTGAAGGAGAATAAAGATGAAAAATACATGCGATACTGACACTGGAAAAAATGTTGCAACTCCCAGAGCGCCATAATGGATTAACAATTAAAAAGATCAACAACTACATTAAGCGTTGCTGCCCTCTGTGCGTGCTCTGGGCACGTTATCGCAGCTCATAATAGCGTTTGTGTGTCTGCTCTTCTGTATTTAATGTGTTTTGCCCTCATATAAGGAATGGCACAGTAAAGCCCAGAGAAATCTGCATGTGTACACACACACACACACACACATAAACAATCTTAAAGGCAGCTGGGACATACACGATACATAAATACACACAGCGCGCACGTTCTCTACATGCTTTAGACAGGGAGGTGAGGAAGCAATGGTGTTGTTAATTATCTCCTATTGTTATTCAGATTCCCTAAAGTGTGCTGCAGTGTCACACTCTTAACCCTTCTGCTTCACAGTCTTGTTGTTTGGAGACGGTCTTCTGTCCGCTGTCCGCCCACCGAATGGCAGTAATTACACCGTTTAGCTCGGGGTTCACAGGCCTACCATTCACGAGCTGTGTTCGCGAAACCTCACCATGGCAACCTGTCAACATCTTTGTGGAGATGGATGCCATCAGGTCGGTGAAGGGCATATAAGGGTCTGGTTTTTGGTCATAATCTCAATGCGCAGTGGAAAGTGTTCGAACACTTACCTGTTCTATCTGAGTGTCTAAGCAGGTATTAAAGATGACAGCACCAAGGAAGATACACATTGTGATCTTTTTCTTCATATCTTGAGGTTTGTTCAGTCCTTCGGAGGACAACTGTAAATAAAGGCATGGACCTGTGTTTGTGACGATGACTATCATCGTCTCTGTCAGCCTTGCAGCACTCTGGTAGCTTCAATATGACCACAAGATGGATGCTTAATTATAACATTTACATTATGTTGCTTCATGTAGAATGAACTAAAAGCAAATCATAATTTGTACAGCTTGCCCTTCGGCTGCTCTGTTCTCCTTCCAAAATACTATTAAAATTGACAGGCTTTCCATTTGATAGTTATTGCTGACAGGACACTTTCTGCCCCTCTTTCATTTATCGATCACGGTGATAGAAACTCTGCCGTGGCGATTAGGCAGTCTGAGCTGTGCTAACTCACAATATCGAACTGGTGGGTAGTGGAATTGGTCGGCGCGGAGCTCATAGAGGTTATCTGTGGCTCGGGCCTCGCTCTAACCAAACATCAAAGCCCTTAATTAATGGGGGGATGAATACACGATGCAGGTTATGACTTCAGCTAATTAGGGAATTGTTAAACAGAGACGGTGCCGGGGAATTCAGGAGGGGCTGCGGATGGAGAATCGATGGTCAATGAAGAGAGGGAGCATGTAGGCAATTTGCCAGTTAATGTGTTCCCAATATCAGCTCAGGGAGGCAGAGGATGGTGTGGCGGGAGACTGTTTTACATGTATTGACGAAGGCTGCAAACTGAAAGAACAGAGCTTATAGTAGGATTAATGAAGATATCGTAAAATACTTTGTGAATACATGTCATTCTTTCCACATTTAGTAAGTACTGAAATCGGCTATCTGAAATACACAAATCAAGTCCAGTCAATATCTTTGCCCTGGTAGTTGTGTGTAGGTCGATTGTCAGTGTTTTGTCCTGGCAGCACATCTAGAAGGACATATCTGGTGAGGAAATTATGGGAAAAACAGAGAACTTGGGGATAAAACAGCTCAGAGCCATAAGACGTTGCTTAGGGCGACACCGACAGCCGAAACCAAATTCCTTGTATGTTGTGTACGTACTTGGCCATTAAAGCTGATTCTGATTCTGGTATTAAGCTGTAAGTTACATGGGTAATTCAAACAAAGGCCTATGCAATATGCTATTAATTAAAAAAGACATGGACAAGCAGCTAATGAGACACTCCAGTTTTAAGAAAAAATATGTATGAAGTGGAAAATAGTTCATAACCTCACAACAAATACACCAGCATGTGAAAAGGTAACAAAAAGTCTTAATTATATAAGAACAGCAAATGAAAAGGTCCCATACAGACGCCCTATATTTCACAGGTCTGGTTTGTGGAAATTAGGCAGAAATACGGTGTCAGTGAAGTTTTATGGAGTTTCATGGAATGCTATGGGTTTTATTAATAGATCACAAACAAAGGTAATTTCCAATGCAGCTAAATCCCTACGTGTAAGCATGACTTCAACCAATATGCAGCAGAAATGCCCTTTAAATTAATATTCATATTAAATCCAGTTTAAGACTTTCTAGGAAATGGATGGACATCAGTTAATAAACATTTTTTCACTTATCTAAAACTTATAATTTCCTTGTATTTTTTGGGAAGTAACACTTTTTTTACTACGTCTCTCGACTGGCCTGGGAACGCCTGGGGGTTCCCCCCGGAAGAGCTGGAGGATGTGTGTGCGGATCGGGAAGTCTGGGCGGCTCTGCTCAGGCTGCTGCCTCCGCGACCCGACTCCGGATAAGCGGGAGAAGATGGATGGATGGATGGAACACTTTTTTTCCATTACCTTCATAATTAATAAAAGGCTCAGGCCTCTCTTGGTATTACTCCTGTAATTTACAATCAAATACCAGCTATTTTTAATTGAAAATATGATACAAGTTTGCAGAAATTAGTTAATAAATATAAGACTTCTAAAATAAAATGATCCAGATTCTCAGTTTGGGAGCTGGCCAGCTGATCTTCAACATAAATATGGCATGTGGGTATTGTTTTATAGTCTCTCTCCAGTTGATGTCTACATATTTAAGTTGTTTCCATGAAAATACGTCCTTGCTACACGGTTGTTTCCTGTAGAATGTGCAGATTAAACACACCTGCTCAACCTATTGTGGAAGTCAGTTGCGGGAACAGTCTAATTTCCGAGGGGATAGTTTGACCCTTAAAAAGCACCTGCTTGGGCCATTGCTGTTTGGTCAAGTATGAATGTTTTCCACTGCATTGTTACACACACAGCGTTTTCAAAAACCCTGCAGCATCAAACAGGTTGTTTTTTCTTGTAGTTTGTAGCTGACAACAACCAGGATAGAGCAGCCGCAGAGATTTCACTGCAGACAAATGAGTCCAGGTTTTGTTGTCCGTGTTTGCAGAGGACGGCATTCGGAGGGAATTTGAGACCGTTAGTATTTTGATTCTTCAGTGGACTAATTTGATTAATCTTCCTGCGGCTTTGGCCCTGCTGTGGAAATGCAAATGTGCTGGAGGAAAATAACAGGAAATTAAATGACAACTGGCAAACTCTATCTGCTCATGAAGACTGTTTACGATCGTCATAAGCTTCAGAACAGCTACTATGCAGACCCTGCGGTGAGACTGAACTAATGTAGGATTCCAGGACTTAGCAATCCAGACAAGTAGTCAATATTGTATACAGAAAAAAGCAAGGGGACATTATCTTGAAACTGTCCTGTTTGTGAGATATAGGCAAGTGTGGACGACTTAGTTAAAGATAGCATAATTATCGGCCCTCTGATAAGCCCTTGAGAGTGTCTTCTTAATGCAATTTAGGTACCTAGTGATATCTGATTTGTCCACTTTTAATAATTAGAATCTGGATTTAAATTATTCAGATTACAAAGCAAGGTTGTGTGGAAAATGGTTGTGGATTCAATTTGCAAAGGGCTACTGTCTGGTAATTCAGCAGAGCACTAAAGAGAAGACAAAGACCCCATTTTACTTTGAATTGTGCAGAACACAAAAGTTCCGAACTGAATTAGAGATGGTGTAGTCCTCCTTCTAGAACTTACTGTCTTAGATATTGTCGTTTCAGTTCTTTGCTATCCACTGTATGGTTTGATAAAAATGTGCATTCACAGCCACCAATTTAATGTCTATAGCAGGGCTCCAGACTAACTTTTCCACTGGTAGCACCTTTGAGACCAACTTTCTCATTTGGACCCACCTCCCACCTTGTGACAGACAAAACATATGACTTGTTGAACCTTTTCTTATTGATAGGTTCTACAATTCTACAATTCACCGATGTCCCTAAAGCCTTCACATTGCAGGCTGTGGTAGTTGCTGCTTGTTTGCTGAAGTGTGGTCAGACAGGTGTGCGACCAAATATCCATCCATTCATTATCTATACACCGTTTAATCCTCACTAGGGTCATGGGGGGGCTGGACTCTATCCCAGCTGTCTTAGGGCGAAGGCAGGGGACACTCTGGACAGGTCACCAGTCTATCACAGAGCTACACTTAGAGACAGACAACCAAGCACACTCACATTCACACCTACAGACAATTAACCTCAACATGTTTTTGGACTGTGAGAGGAAGCCGGAGAACCCGGAGAGAACCCACGCTGCATGGTGGAGAACATGCAAACTTCACACAGAAAGATCCCGGGTGTCCTCACCGTGATGCGAACCGGTGACCTTCGAGCTGTGAGGTGACAGTGCTAACCACCGCTCCACCTTGCAGCCCCACAACCAAATATAATATAAAGAAAATAGTAAATTAAGGCGTTCCATTGTCAGATTTGTCCCACATGAAGCTGAGTGATTTTTTCTACATGCGCTGTTTTCTATGAGCAGAAAAACTGTGAATACATGTGTGCCCAGTTTTTATAAGAGAAGACCATATTTTTAAACGTAAATACCGCAGTACACAGAAAATATAAAAGTACTACTTTCCACCACTATGTTTAACACAGTAGCTGCCTGTGCAAGTTACAGTGACACTAATACAGCTGAATGATCATCATGCACTCACACCAATGCAACCGCTTAACATTTTAACTTGCACACTCAAAAAAACTGGTCGCAAATGTGACCATTTTTGGCTGCAGTCTGGAGCCCTGTGTGGGAGATGTGGACCAACATTTTAGACAGCACTCTCTACTGCCATCATGAAACTACCTAGTGAGGGGTTATCTTTTGGAAGAATGGTGTCCACACCTTCAGAAGAGTTCCAGAGGCTTGGAGAATCAAAGTACATTAAAGCTATTGTGATGGCACACAGTTCATATTGGCTCAATGTTCCACAGTCTGTATGTTACGGTCTACTGACCCACCTCAACACCAGGAGTAAAGCATGACCAGATCCCACTGCCTCCAATGTTTTTTTAGTCAAGCTGATTACTGAACAATTTGTGGGTTGTATTGTCTACTGAACAAATGCGTAACACAACTGCGCTTTTTACCAGACGGGAGTCGTCACACCTCAACTAACAGACTTCCTCAAAATTTGTGTTTTAGATGACAATTTGGTTTAATGGCCAAAATCAACTGCTCCAGTATGTTTCAATTCTCTGTGCTGCCTGGAAAGCGTTCTGCAGCGTATCGTTTCTGTTGATCAACTCAATGTAACACACACAATTCCAAGAAAATGACCATTAGTGTGCTCACCACATATTTGGAAATACACAGTCAGGCCTTTCATTTTCTCCAGTGTTTATCTGCTTACGAAGTGGAAATCTTACCGAGTCCTTTGTGGGCGTCGAGGCTGGTGTACTCGATTGTTCCATCATGGCACCTCTTGGGGTTTTCTTTGTATTCTTTGTGGACTCCATCAGGACAGTATCTGTAGGACAGCCCATAATCTGCGAGGTAGACCTACAGCACAGAACAGAACACACGCACACACTGTAATTACAAAGCTAATCAGGAGGAAAAAAAAGACATTTGTCCTTCCTTCTTAGAGGTATAAACCTCATTAATATGGACAGCTGATAACTGACCATTTGCATTATTAATTAAAATAGCACACAGTAGGAGAGCCCTTAATTGGTTGTATAAAGTGTGAATTCTGTACTGTGCACATGGAGGATAATTACCAGAGATGTGTAGTGGACTAACCTGTTCAGGATCTCTGTAACCACACATGAGGTTGGCAGCTTTAATGTCTGCATGGACATACTCGTTGTCGTGAATATACTCCAGTACATCCACCTGGTGGAGCGGCCAAACACACACAAAACAAGAATGACAGTTATGATGAGCAGACTAATGAAAAGGAGTGAATACACATATCAAAAGGTTCACTTTATGGGAAAGAGGGGTCATTATCTGTTAAACTGGTATTTGAATGCAAATTTACTGGCTGAGCAGCTGGTGCTGTAGCTCCATCCAGCTTCTTTGTACAACAATCAACGGACAGAAAAAAAAAACATGTTCCGTGATGATTATCTCACCAGTCTTTGGCCAAGCTGGAGCACATTGGCCTTCTTCAGTCGGCCTCCGTTGCGCTCACAGACCTTCTGAAGATCCGTGCCCAGTCGGTCCATGGCCATGAAACGATAACTGAGTGGGACAGGAAAAGATCAATTCCTTGTTTCTCATTCTGACACGACACAACACACTGCCTACTAACAGCTGATATGCAGACCGCTTTTTGGAGGAAGTAGGAGGTCTGACTCTGACATTTAGCATCCACCACTTTGATGTTTTTAAAAGAACTTGCAATAAATGCAATAGTGGAATTTCATTAGACATATTTTGATGCTTAAAAGGATGTTTAAGTCTTTGCATAACAATAAAATGTAAGTGACAAAGAGACAGGTTCTTTTCATAACACTCACAAACAAACGCATAAAAATATATATAACATTGTTGATATCATCGTAGAAAAGAGATTAGCCTTTAAGCATTGGGCAAAAAATCCCAAATAACCTTTCAGTATTATATCATTCAAGTGGTCTGAGAGGAAACTAGACATATGCACCACCTCCTGGCTCCATTTTCAGGGTTTACAAAAGCCAGTGACAGTAGATTTTACCCAATCACACCAAGGGCATTTTGCTTTTGGCGTTACTGCCTTTCCATGTTTGAAGCTCACGTTCAACTAATGGGAGGGGTTTAGAACAGAGAAAGAAGAAGGAAGAGCTGCAGGGGGAGGGCTGTACATTGTCAAATACTGGCTTTTTTTTCTTGTGTTTTCCAGATTGCCGCCTACTGCACCTGTAGGTCAGACAAGCAGGGAAACAAGACCTCACAGAAGCAGAAAATTCTAAAATACTGACCCAGTAAGGATGTGAATGCAAATTGAAAGACCTAAAATAGACATGATTTTGAAAATGAATGCTGGAGTTTGAGACAATTTGGTCCTTCTAAGGCAAATATACAGTGATGTGCAGGTTGATGCAGAACCTGGGCAGGTCTGGGAAAGCTTAAACTAAAGTGTCATGGATTCAGCAGGTCAGGTCAAAAAGTGACAAAGCAGTGACAGAGACAAAGATATAGACAACTTAAATGTGTGAAATAGGCTAGGTTATCATCACTCATCCACCTTCTCTGTCACTCTCTGAATCACACACACCGGAGGCAGCAGGTCTTCTTATGACCTTATGCACTGTTAATAACCTCAGTTTACTGCATAACATTTTAAGGCATGTCTTTATCTTATTACAGTTATAAATGGACAATAGCAGTTCAGAGATAAGGAAGATAACTGTATAAAACCGAGTTGTGGAATTAAAAATGTCACCATTATGGTTACAGCATCCTGCAAATGTGGCTGCAGGTTAGGTTTGAAAGGGCTCATTAACACATACTTTTGCACGTTGACTGATGTGGATTGGCTCTCCAAATTGGCCCAGTAAGCTGTTCTTTTAACTGCAGATAGTTCGGAAACGGACCGACTCAACAGATAAGAAAGACTTCTAATCTGAATTATCGTTTGTGGTCAAAAGAAACCTAAAACAAATGGCCTTAAACGTTAGGTGACTACCATGAAACCTGTGTTCAAAGCACAAAAGTACACTCTAAGGAGAGCATCAGCAACCTTTTTTGGTCTATGACAGCATGATTTTAAAATCTAATAGAGAGCAACATCCTCCAGTTGAATAGCAATGCATCATATAGTGGCTTTTTTTTTTTTTTTTTTTTTTAGAAATGTCTGGTTGGGGTTTCAGTTAACCCACAGAAATGCAGAAATGTGCATCGACAGGTATTTGCTATGTCCGTACCTGAGGTTATTACATTCTGCAAGTCCAGACCCCCAGTACGTGGGGATGCCAAGAAAGTCCAGTTTCCTGCTTCTCTTCCATTTTTGCACTGAAAAAAATTAGAGAAGGCATATTTAGGAATATGTCACAGTTTCATTATTATACTCCTGAGGTACTTATATTTGAGTGTCTGCATCTGAAAAGCCTGAACTGAAAGGAGTCACACGACTAACTAAATAAAGACTCACAACCACAATGGCTGAATTCACAAAGCAGAAACCCTGGTGACATGGACCACTTATATATACTGACATTAGTCTGAGGGGGATGGCTGGTAAGTAGAAAAACTTTCCATGGTACCTCTCCCAACAATTTTAGAATTTTATGATTACCTAGACGTGACGCCTTGCCCCCTCACCCCCCCGGGGAGTCTGAACAAAAACTCCATGAAAAGTTGGCAAATGTTTTGTTCAAAAATCAGATTTGTCCTTGTGAGAGCAAGAATTCGTGTATACAAATATCAATCTTAAAGTATTGAAACTACAAACACACAACTGCAAACATACACACAGACACACAAAGACCCCAGACAAAGCAGTGGGCCTGGCTCAGGGCTTGATGGCGGCTGGCCTGACTGGCTCTCAACCAGGCTGGCAGGTGGTCAGGGGCTCAGCAGAGGCCCGGGCATCATTACATGTGAGTGGCTTCCTCTCCCTTGCTCCTCTCCAAACGAAGGCGTTGGAGAGCTCAGACAAGCTCGGAGAGGGGGGCCCAACTGCCACTGAGGTGCATGTTTGCTTTGGCTTATTATTAATTACAGTGCGGCAGGCAGCAAAGCCTCTGTGTCTGCAGCCACTTCATCAGTCAAATGCACTTGTGCTCCAGCGAGCTGCCGGGACTCTGGACGGGTGGTGCTACTCACTGCTCTCTGGTTTGGCTGCCCTCTGGTAGAACTTGAGCTCTGAGAACAGGGGGCCATTCGTCTGGTACTCCTGCATGTACAAGTGCACAGTATTAACCATTTCATTATCACTGGTTAAAGCTGCACTAGGGTAACTGTCTGTGTTGAGATCACAAAGTAAAACTGTGATAAGGAGTAATGTCTCAACCAATGGGTATCTTACAACTTGGCCAAACACAACCGCCTGTGGAATCTGTTTCTTTTTAAAGCTTCCAAAGGCAAAATTACAAAAACACCGGCATGAAGCATGGCAAAGTAAAGGAAATTCTGTTTTATTTGAGGGAAGTGAAAGAAGAAACTGTCCTCTCTCAGTGCTTTGTTCAACAAAGAGTGTTAATGTTAAACTGAAGCAAACATTTCACATACTGGTTTGGAAACTTCACAACACTGGCAACCTGCAATACTCCATGTGGGAGACCAGAGTCCAGCTCTATTTGAGCAGGAATGCAAGCTGAGGTGAGTTCACCCATACAGATTTACCCCTCAAATGCAGGACACTGCCTTGGCCTTCAACAACTAACACCTTTTATCTTGTTTCTGTACAAAAGCTAAGCATGAAAACCATAACCTGCAGTTTTATGGGGTGCTATGTGATGTTTCCTGCTGTAAACAGTGTCTTCTGAGTTTGCCAGACAACTACCAGAGACTTAAACCCAAGTAAAACCAAAAAGAGGAGTTTTTAGACTTTGGTTTAGGTTGGGATTTGTCTGAAATGTAAAGTTTGTTTTTGTGTGGAGAATTAAATGTACAAATCAATCATTTAATCTGACACTTCTGAATCCTGTCTCATGGTTTCTAAGCATCTGGGTACACTGTTTCCAGTCAGAAGCATTTTTGCTAGCAAATAAAGACCTGAGGTTTGTGGTCTGCACATTGTTTTTTTGTCCATATCGCTGTGATAAACAAAGGAGATGCTGTCATGAGAGCTTTGTTCCCTTCTCTATAGTCCAATTAGTTGCAGAAAAAGGCACATGTCGAGGGATGACAATGTACAACTTTGAATACAAAATTAACAAAACTAAAGGTAAAATCCACCACTGGCACAAACCAGTTAATGGCAAGTGGAAGTGGACAATACAGCCCAGCATCGAGTGAATAATGCAATACATATAAGCCAGCTGAGGACACTTAACTGCCTACAGACAGAAGTGCATATGCAAACGCTGGAAGAACAGTCACGCCAGCTGAGTTTCCAGTCTGCTCCACTGTCAAATGTTACTTCTAGTCATCATTTGTGAAATTTTCTTACACGCTTTCTCACAGTGACTAAGTCATGTGATGTTGTGTGAAGTTGAAACTAAAAAAAAAAAAAAAAAAGAGGAAACATCACTTTGCTGTAAACAATTTACCCACGCATTATTGTCCATAACCATGGTAACAACTGCTTTCTGCCTTCAACAGAAGAGTGCAGTAAGGACATCCTGCATTACATTACAATTTCAAAAAGCATTTATATGTCCCTGAAGACGGATAAGCTGTGTCTGTGCAGCACAAAGGTACTCACCACCTTTATGACAAAGTCAGTGTCCGCTGCAACCGGTCTGTCTATGTTCTGGGAGGCTTAAAAATGAGAGAAGACAGACAGGGAAGATGAGAAAACATGCTGGGTACAAAGTTATGATACATTATGTTAAGTCCTAATTCTTGGACTATGTCAAGTCACTTAGAGTTTTCACATGCACAAAAGAATACAAAGACATTTACAAAGTACTGTAGTGAGCACTCATGCATTCGTAAATCTGGGGAATTCTAGCTGATTGGAAAACAAATGTCGATTAGTGGGGAACTGTTGCAGCACATGACAAGCGTTGACATTCTTGTAGCAATCTGATCTGTGCAAGCAACTTTCACAACAAAGAAAAAAACAGATCAATCAGTGTCTTCCTGAAACAATGTGTGTATGTGGGACAGAATGAGAGGGAGTTCTTAAAAATAAGTGTGCATGCGCGTACATAGTTATGTGACAAAGTGTAAATGTACAGGGTGTGTGTGTGTGTGTGTGTGTGTGTGTGCGTGTCATTACACACAATGCACTCATTACCAAGATAGATCAGTCCAAATCCACCTTGACCAATAATCGTCCCCAGCCTCCATTTCTTCTTCTCAGTGTCTGTCAGTATGAAGCCATCCGGGAGTGGTTTGGGTAGCGCACTCTTCTTTGGAGGTGCCATTAACACTAAGAGCGTATCAGAAAAAAAGTGTGAGAAAATATTGTAAAATTGCATCTATATACTGAGACAAAATGCAAAACAAAAATTCTATGACTTGGTCTGGCAGTGGTTGCAAATATTAGATTGAAGCTGCATGCTTGAGATAAAATGTTAGGAAGACAATGATGTCATAGATGAAAGTGCATCGTGAAATGTCTTCTTTTATTTCTGTTTAATACAAAAACAAAACTGAAACAACATCCAGTCTACCTAGCACAAAGCTGCCCTGTGCTGGTCAGGTTATCTGAGTGAGAGACAACGTCCACAAACTTCATTTAATAATCTGTCTGCTCTAAATATCTGAATCTGATATGAATAAATTCTATGAGCTTATAGGAATTAAAGCAAGGTTCCTTCCCACTGTGAATTATGGTATTTTTATTGATCAGTGAAATTTCAGATTTCATTCGTGACTGCCTACTCACCCTGTAGAACTATATGAATTACCACTGAAATGTCAAAAGTTTCGAAATTGCTTCACCTATCAATATTATTATTTCTAAGTTGACAAGTGCAGTATCTTCAGTTATGAAAAATTGAAAAAAAAAAAAAATTGACAGAAAGTCTATATTGAAAATGCAGGCCCCATAGTAGATACAACAAAAGTGAATACATCTGTGATCACTGACACACAAGTCAGAAAACCTGTGAATTATACAGAAGAATTGAAAATTCTGATTGTGAGACTTCATCAAAATGACAAATGATAGAAGGATATTAGTGATCACCTAAAATCAGTGGAAACACAGTTGCAGCAGCAATCAGAACGAGCTACAGCCCCACTAACCAGAGCTGCAGTGGTCCTTCTCCTTAACTTTACACTATAGGCACAAGGATTATTAATGGAAATCAGACTTTCTGTGGCAGCTCAGAAAGTGTAAAGGACATTGCCCACTATTAGCTTCCATGCCCAAGAAAAACGTTGACGTGTAAGTAACATTGCACAGAGGTGTACTCACTTCTGCTGTGTACTGTGCGGCAGTCTAAAGCCTGTCTCTGGTATTAAATCACAGGTGTGCCCAGCTGGCTACGTACTTCTGCTGGTTACTGCTATGTTAAGGTTAGCTAATCAGATAAAACACCAGACCGACAACACAACGGAAGACCGCTGGACACACTGCAGCTATGTTTTAAACTCTGGTGGGCAAAAGACAAACGTTGACGAGACAAACGTTACAATAACAACTAACTGGCTAACTAGCAGCTAACTTAGCTAATAAGGCGGTCCTAAGTGTCACTTACATGCTAAAATACGCAACGACCTCCGAGCAGAATAGGAGCCGTGCGTCGTCAGTCGGGCTTTTTGTTTAGAAACACAGTGATTAATACTGTTACGTTCTTTAAAAGTCACCCTTCTTCCACAAACTCTTCTCGTTGGTCCACCCGCGCCTCTGAAACAGAAACAAACCGTCTTCACTTCCTGAAAGTTGTCCCTCCCGCTACGCCGTACAGCCAATAGCAGGCAAGGAAAAGACGCTTCACAACAATCAGCCAATAGAAAGGTAGAGAATCTGGGAACCGGCGTACGGTTCGCTCCAACGGACAAATCAACAAGCTGTAACCAGGATGACGTCGTTCACATTACGGGACATGTTCATGGTCATCTTGGTTTTGTAAAAACTTAGAGGAGTTTATATTT